TGGCCTGGCGCGTGATGTCCCCGGATGGTTTTCTCTGTGTATGCCCAATCCACCTCTACTTTCTTCTTCTGCATATTTGTTGGACGATAGGTTCTTGGTTGGTTCGTTGTCAGCCAGAGTTCCTTGTTGTTTATTCTTTCTGGCCTTCTGATCTGATCTTGAGTATCGAGTGAGCGTAGGCGTAGACGTAGGCGGCAGCTGTTGATGAGTGTCTGCAGTTTGTTGGAAATGCTTTTCGTAACGCGCCAAGTCTCTCAGCCATCACATAGAAACACTGACTTACTTGACTGAATTAGTGTTGAAAATCCGGATCTTGTTCACGCTTTATGCTGAGTGCAGTACAGTGCAGTAAATCACACTGGTTTCAGATTAATGTCTTGCTTTTCCGATCCTGGATTTGACGTCCTCATCAGTGCCACCTGTAGTTGAAATGATGCTGCCTAGGCAGATGAAAGAGACTACTTCCTTTAGGTTCTCCCGTTAGTGGTGATTGGTGCTTGTTGTTGTTGTTGTTGGTTGGCTGTCTTCATCATCTCTGTCTTCTCTACGTTCACCTGAAGGAAGTTCCATCTTCGCTGCCTTGCCTCTTCTGTCAACTTGCTAGTTTTCGCCTGTAGATCTTCGAATTTGTTCGACATTTGACACTAAACATAAATCATGATCGGCGAAATCCCAAATCTATGGTCAAACAGCGTATCCTCATCTTCTCGCTCTTCACAGTTCTTTGCATGATCCAATCCAGTGCAGTCGACCACAATCAGGAAGATGATCGGTGATAGTAGGCGACGGCCTTGTTTTACTCCTGTCTTCACTTCATTTCAAAGGCGTCACTGAGCTTTCCATTGTGAATCACTTAGCATGTGGCGTCTTCATATAGCTGTTGAATGAGGTTGATAAAGATTTGTGGCACTAAAACAGTGGTGTTGATGCAGTTTCTAAGTTACTTCTCGGTCGACGCTGTTGAAGGTCTTTTCAGAATTGATGAAGTTGAGGTAGAGTTGAGTTGACTGCTATTCTACGCTCTGTTCTTCCCTTCCTTGCAAATCTTCTGGAATAGTGGTGTGAGCTTGTCTGCTGTTGTCTCTGAATCTGTTTTTAGTGCTTCTGGTGGAATTTCATCTGGTCCTGCTGCTTTCCCGGATTTCAGAAACCTTATGGCGTTCAGGACTTTGACTTTGGTCGGAGGGCTTGTGTTCACTGGTAATTCTGTGGCTGGGCTGCTGGTGGTATTTCTGGACGAGTTGCAGGTGGTGGTGGTGGTGGTGGTCGATTAAAGAGTTTTTCGAAGTGGTCAGCCCATCGTTTCCTTTGTTTTTCCTCTTTGATAACTAGGTTTCTTTCACTATCTTTCATTGGTTTCATCTGCGTTGATCTCTTTCTAGATAGTAACCTGGTTATTTGATATGGTGTTGTCAGGTCTCTGTCTCTCCTACCTGCTGCCTTTTCTGCTTCACTTGCCAATGTGTCCTAGAAGTGTCTTTCGTCTTTGCGTCCACTTTTCTTCACTTCTTTGTGCAGTGTTTTATACGTTGTACTCCGTTCCTCTCCTCGTTGTTCATCCCTGCGCTGGACTGGTTCATCTTCTACTTCACCATCTTCCTCTCCCTGCTCTATCAGCTTCCATGTGTCAATCGAGATCCATTCCTTGTCTTATTTCCTCTTCCTTCCTAATACAATTATGCAGGTTTCTTTTCATACCGCTTTCAAAGAGTTCCAGTGTTCATCCGTGGAGGTTTCTTCAGGGATGTTGCTCAGTGTCTCCGATTTTGTTCTGATAGCTGACATGAAGATGTGCTTTGTAGTTTCGTTCTTCAGTTTCTGTTCTGGGTGTTGAACTTGAACTGTGGTCTATCACAGACTTCTTTGAAGGCTTTCAACTTGATTTTGAAGGTAGGTTCCCTGCACTAGACAGTGAGTGATTGGTTTGAACCTACATCTGTTCACCTTCTTGATCTGATCTTGTGTCCAGTAGGCTGAGTCTCCACTTTCTTCAGATTGAGATGGAGTCGATATGATTTTTTAATGTAGTGTGTCTTGGTGTCTGGTGAAATCGAATCTATGTCTCTTTGTGAATGTCCTTGTGTTTGTACACACTACCTCCAATTACCAAATCGTTGAATGTGCAGAAATCTGCAAACAGTTCTCCATTCTCATTTATCATTTCACCGAGTGCTTCTCGACCCATGATTGGTTCTCTACCTGTGTTGTCTGCTCCTCACAGTTTAGGATTCATGTCACCCCACCCATTAGAATGAGCTTTGAAATCGCGATCTGTGGTGGGGTGTTGTCCAGTACTGATTGCACTTGTTTATAGAATTCCTCCTTCTCCTCTTGATCTGCATTATTTGTAAGTGCGTAGTGTAGCACTGAATGATTGACTTTCCTTCCTTTTGAGTTGAACCTTGCTGTCATGATCCTGATGGTGGAGGAGATTGGTTCCCACTGCATGAGAGCCTTTGATGCTGTTTGGGACATGGTGATAGCCACTGGGAAACTCAGTTTGCTCGTGGTTGTCGTCTGGTTGACAATATCGGAGTAGATTATTGATTCTGCAGTTAATAGTTTGGAGAGTCCAGTTCCATTCTATCTGCTCTCACAGATTCCTAACACTGCTATGCCATACCTTCTCATCCCTTTTGCAATCTGGGCAGGATTGTTAGGTGCATACATTGTTCGGACATTCCATGTCTCGATGTTTACTTTCGCTTTCATCGAGAGAGAGAGAGAGGTGACACATCGGCCGATTGGCTTCCCAGAGGCTTTCACCAACTGGCGTCGTTTCGTCTCTCCGATTCTAATGAGGAATAAGTTTAATTTTATGTTTTATATTTTGTTTATGCCTTGAAGTTTCTTTAGGGATTGGATTGGTTTTCCGGGGTACGGTTGCTAGCCGTATGCCCAACCTTCCCTCTTTACCCGGGCTTAGGAGCGACTAGTAACTAGTGAACTAGTTACGTAGGCGAGGTTAGCTAAGTTGGCTTTTAATACTGTCACTCTATCCTGCCGTACTGTGTCATAATGTGTAATTGCGTGTAGTGCCGTAGACCAGCTTTCTTCTATATTTGTTATCTTATTTGAATCTACTGATCGTGATTTAGCTAAGTTTTTGTGCTCTGTTATTGTAATCAACCCTGGTCGACTACTTTCACCTATTTATTTGACCTCGCAATCATTACAAGTGATTTGGTAAACCAGATTATTCTGCTTAATTGCATGAATAAAATCTTTTAACTTACAAAACTTGTTTCTAAGCGAGTTGGTTGGTTTAAGTGCCTCTTCAGTCCCAGCCAGCCTCATTGAAAATTCTTCGTAATGCCTCTGAGGTGCCTTCCTTGTATGGTAACACAGTGGAGGCTTTGAATTCTCTCTCAACCTTGTCACCATTTTCACTATTATTAGTAGCATTATTATTAACAACACCTGTGTTACTAATACTACTACTACTGCCCATATTTTCCTTATATTTTTTTATGAATATACTGATAAATTTAGGTGGACAATTATTGAGACGCAAGGTATTCTTGATGTGTCTAATTTCTTATCGTAGATTTCCCGGTCTATTGGTAAGCTTTTTTGCCATATCACATAGGCATTTAACTAAGTTTACTTTATCTGAAATGAGGTGGCAGGATTTAAAGTCTAAGTAGCGATTCGAATGGGTAAGTTTCCTATAGACACTGGTCCCTAAACTTCCGTCTTGTGTTCGTTTAATCTAGCAGCTCACCATTTCTAGCTCATCTTCATCACTTTCTAAGTCACAGATTAGTTGGATTGCATTCACTACTGAATTTATATGTGCCGAGAACCTATTGATGTGTTGCGATTTCAGTACTGTAAACGTATCATATGCATATCGGAACCATACCTTTGGAGTAGGACTAAATGTTTGAAGGGTTATATGTTCCCAACTACCTTTGTTTATCGAATTAACATCAAACATCTGCGATAGAAACGATTCTGCACTTGTCCCACATACATGGAAAATTCTACTACCCTTGTCATCACTAAGAAGGAGAGAAAATTAGGACTATATAAACTCTGTCTCGAAGTTGTGGAGTTACCTGATATGAATATGGACAATAAATTGTATCCGAAACGTTTTTATCCAGTAAATGATACTGTTCCTTCACTGTGTGACATTTCTAATAAACAGACTAAAGTGGAATTACAATCTACCACAGTGCCCGAGTTTCACTGTTGCACTAATCCTCACTAGTAGTTTTGTCTGCTGTTTTTTAGACACTAACTGTCATTATCTACACTATTTACCCTTCCGGTAACACAAACAAACCTTGTGATTGCATTGTTAAATCAGATCAGAAATGTATGCAGTGTATAGAATAGGGTGACAGGCTTCAGATTTAGGGAAGTTTTTCAGCTAGCGATTATTAAGTGATAATAGGACGCTGCAGTACTAATAATGCAAAGGATTTAGCAACTGCTTGCAGATTCGCATCCAAAGCTCTAAGCTACGTTGAGTATGAAGTAATGATACTGCTTGACTGACTAAACTTTGGTAAGTGGAATGGGATACAAACCTGCGACTCACTTACCAAAAGTCGATTGCATTCTACAACAGCATCCAAATCCTATAATTGTACTAAGAAACTAACAAACCATTAGTAAGTTTATATTCTAATATTCTGTTGACAAAGCTTATGTGTACAGTTTGATTTTGCTTATGACTTAAACATTTGTTTGTAGAGGAGTACGCTATTTTCAGTATCTATAAGCATTTAGTAACTAACACTCATTATATCGATTAGTTTTTTTTCTACCTGTGTAGTCGAAAGAAACATTAAGGTTGACATGAAGACTGTTACTAGAAGAAACGTAATAAGTAGGTGTCAACCCACAAATCATCAGTAAGGGATATGATTTTAGTGTTGTTTCACAAACTACACAGTAACTTAAGAGAATGACTGTTTTACTGTTTTTATATCCTTTGATTATCTTCAAATTAATAATTTTTTGAAAAAAAAACTCCTATTCAATTACAGTTACTTGGCCCAGCTGCATTAGATGCCAAAAATGTTCATCTGGAACTATCAGGTGACCAAACCACATCACGTTGCTCTGGTGTAGTATGTTTATTCCATACACCACATCCTCAAAGAATCTGTAATAAAACCTTGTCAACTTATTTCGGTGCATCACTTCCGGACATATTACCAAAGAATTCAAAAGTTGTAACACCAAGAAATTATTCAGTCGATAAAGATATGAAGATACTTCATCCGGTAAACAAGGTTTTTTCAGAGAAGGATAGTTGTACGTCAACAACAACAACAAAGCAAATTAAATCTGTTTCAAGTTCCAAGGTATTAGATTAACTGTAAAAGTAGATGTTCATATGAATTATAATTTTTGTATTTGGGGGTTTGTGGAGATTTAATGATTTTTCAAGTTGGTTTTCATCATGGACCGACATGAATTGGAGGAACACTAGAAACCTGAGAGCACTGGACAGCTGTTCCGTCCTAGTACGGAACTCCACAGCAACACGCACTCATGACCCCACCCCGCTGGGGATGGTAATGTAGTGGCCATGAAACCTGAAGGTCCTGGGTTCGATCCCTAGTGGGGTGGGGTCATGGGGGCGCACTGCTGAGGAGTCCCATTCTGGGATGAAACAGCTGTCTAGTGCTCCTAGTTTTCCAATATTCCTCCAACTGATTTCAGTCTATGATGAATACCAGCTTATAATTTTTGTACTGTAATAGTTACTATTGTATTTCAATGGTCTTACTAGGTTGTATTTTATCGCTTATAGAATTATGTTGACTAGCGCCTAGTCCTCAGACTATATATGCATAAATTTAAAATAATATCGAGACAATCTCATTCAAACACGCACGATTGCAGCAAAGAGAAAGTTTTCTTTTCAAGGAGATCACTCTTTTAGTTGTACATTCGTTAATATATGGTAAAAACTATAAAACATTCCAGGGTAATTACCGGTCAAAGGTCAGTACAGATTGGATCACAAAGGAAATAAACAAAATGTTTACAAAACAAAAATAGTTACGTCATATGTGGGTTATTTAGAGTGATCGATTTATTACGGTAGCCATGACAAAGAATGAGGTTACACACACTTCTTTTGAACGCATAATGTTGGATTGAATTCTTGAATCGCTAATGCTCCAGCTACACCCGGATGTTTTAGCTTCACTCCTTTCAAGTGACTTGATCGCATTATGTACAGAATTTTTGAAGGAATTATCAAACGGAGTCAAATGTCTTGAGTTTACTAAGAGTTCTGTTACTAAACTGAGGATGCATTTCCGTTTTATCCTTGCCAACGTAGTTGGATAGCATTCGCCAGTGCGTTGCATAAAATCGTGTTTGATCCATTTAATTTCCATTTTAAGCTTTATTTAACTACAGATGTTTGACACTTTTGTTTCAAAGTTTGCTTTTTATACTGGGTAATGATTGAAGAGAAGATGAAAATTTGGACCCGCGACCGGATTCAAACCAGCAACCACCGGGTTTCCGGCCCGATGCTCTGCCAACTGAGCTACGAGGTTCGACTGCTGGCCAGGTTTTTTAGTTGGGTGGTTTTACAGACTGTCCTAGCTACCACTAAAATACGCAATCAGTTTTCTTGATTGTAGTTAAAAAGATAGTTTTTGAAAATAAAGGACAGAAACCTTACTGATTATATTAGTAGTTTCTAGGGTGGTCTTCAAAGTCACTCTTCTCTTTTGTATGTCTTTTTTTATACTGATTTAACCGTTTAACGAAAGTTAGATGACTTCAGTGTAATAATTAATCTTCGGATTTATCCAGTCGTTTAGACTTGGAACTAGAAAGAAGATAAATTATCCATTATGCAACTTTATTAAAGTTGAATGGCTTATATATTCAATGGATAATGACCGTGGGATTTCCTAGTAATAAATCCTTGTGACTTAGTAATTCGGTGAATAGGTGTTTACCATTTTGAAGGGGTGGATACTAAGTTTGAGCCGTATTAGAAAATGTTGACTTTTATGTGAATGCATTCAGCTGGCGAGTCACAAGTATAGTGAAAAGCATGCCCCTGAATTCTACTGCTTGTCATACTACCAAATAATAACATTTCAATGTAGATTAGTTGGTGAAAATATTATTATGATGTGAAGTGGACTGATCGGTTTCATATGGATCAAAAAGAGGTTAAAATGCATTCAGCAGCTGCCTTGTGCAAATTCGTGCATTCGGCGATGAACCACAGCTGGCTGCCCAAACCTGGATGGGTGGGGGGTGGTCGGGGGGATTCAAATCCGTGACTCATTTGTTGAAAGTCATTTCCCTACACCAGTGAGTCACAGCTCAGTTAGATACATAGAAGTGATGGTAGTAGAAGGCTTCAGAACTCTCCTTGAGCAACGATTATTGACCTGGTTTTTTGATACAATCGATTTTCAATAGTTAGGATAGGCTTCGCTTGAGTGGCCTTTAATATGCCAGCGTCCAAGGCAAAAACTTTGATTCTTCAGATGACAGAAATGTTGATTTTAGGTGTGTATAGATTTTATGAACAGCTTTCTGCAGTAACTTATCTTTACTTAAAGTTTCTTAGAATAGATTGACTCATATAATATCGTATTTATTTATTCTGAATTTTATTGTATTTATCCCCTAGAAGACAAATCAAAACCGTAAAGTGTCCTCAAATGATGGAACTTCCTCTTCAGAGTGAGTTAATCACATAAATTTTTGTTGTTGTTCACTATTTTAAAGCGAATCGATGTCAATCAATTTAGCCTTCCAATTGTAGTCTCGTCCCATTTATATTCTCCATCGTGCCATTTCGTATGCTTTGAATATTGATACAGTAGCGTTTTAAAGGGTTGATTGATGAAATGCTCCTTTTTAAGGTATTATGCATAGATGTCTTTTCGCTTTAGATGTATTTTGTTACTATGAGAAAGAAAGATACTGGACAGTGCTATGGTCAATGAGATAGATTAAACCATGGATACAAGTTTAACGGTCTCTGTAAACATTTCGCCTTGTATTTCATACTCTAATATGTGTAATTGAGTAAAAAAAATATACAATTTGGAGGTATGATGGAGATTAATTTATTGATCTCAGGTCGGTATTCATCATTGACTGACATCAGATACACTTATACACCGAATTTTTGGTTTACTCTTCAAATTAACGGACTATCTTCTATCATTTCGATAACGTTATTAGAAGACGAAGATTATCTGAAAAATATGATGTATTTGCGCAATACGTTTCGAATAATCTCAACCTCGCATAAATGATTATAATGGGTTTCTAGCCCGATGCTCTACCCGGTGGTCTCTGGTTCGAATCCGGCCGCGGTCCAAATTTTCATTTCATTTTCAATCATCACCCAGTATAAACACTAGTCTGCCAAACCACGGCTATCTCAGTCAAAATGATAATAAATGACAAATAGTTTACATGTATATGTAAGCTCACTTACATAGGGAAGAGTAATTGTGCAATTAAGACTAGGGTTGGTGAACATATATCTAAATGCCTGTAGTTGAAACAGTGCTGCCTAGGTAGGTGAAAGAGACAACTTACTTTAGGTTTCTTCCGTTGATGGTGATTGGTGTTTGTTGTTGATGGTCGGGTATCTTCATCACCCCTGTCTTCTCTACATTCACTTTAAGTCCCGTCTTCACTGCCCTGCCTCTTCTATCAACTTGTTAGTTTTCGCCTGTAGATCTTCGAGTTTGTGTCACATTAGACATGAGTCATCGGTGAAATCCGAATCTTCTAGGTTCTTTTCTCCGTTCCAGCGTATCCTCCTCTTCTCGCTCCCCACTGTTTGTTGCATGATCCAGTCACTACAATCAGGAATATCATGGGTGATAGTAGACAGCCTTGTTTCACTTCTGTCATTTAGTAAAATTAATTCAGCTTATTTACATTATGTCTTGCATTCGATGCTAACTGGTTTTCTGTATAATCTATCTCAAGCTATCTTATATTCTTTTTAAAAAGTTTCATTTGGTTTTATTGGCAAGTTTGTCATAACTACTAGCTGAAGTCTACATTATACATAAAATGATAATTATTCCTCGGTTAAACAGATTTCTGTCAGAGAAGTTGATTGCTTAAAACAATGTGTTGAAAGTATATACTCTACATGATTCTTGCATACATGCTTACATGCTTGTGTTATATTTCGAATGTGTTGGTAGTTATGCATAGAACTCATATCTGTAGTGTAGACTGATATCATATTAGCGGTAAACAGTTATGTAATTACTCATTTGTAGTATATTTACACGTGGTATAAATGATTTAGATTCTTCTTTATAATCCGTTCATTAGCTATCAAAATATCATTGATATTGTCGGTGTTTAAGTGTTTCGCATAAGTAAAACTCTGGTACTGTTTGTTGTACACAACTTCTAGTTTGTATTGGTTTAATCTCATAATTAGGTGTTGTGTTTGTTTATATCTATCTGTTATACTTTATGTTTCAGGTAATATTTGAGTTTATATTGCTTTTCTCTTATGATAGGAATAAAATATGGTTATCTGATGATTATAATCCTTTGGAATTGATTAATTTATACCAAAATCTTTGCAGATTTTTATCTGTTGAAACTCATATTCAAGATCTGGAAGAATTAGAAGCTGTAAGTTAAGACGGTTCATCAGTAGTATCATGTGAACATCTTAAACAATAATTTAAGCATGTTTGTAATGTTTTTTTTTGACTAAAACAAAAAAAATATTACGTGAATATTGCTCTGAGTTGATAACTCATCTGGTTGACGGCACTAACTGCTTATCTGCCGCAGTATATTAAAGACTGATTAAATCTAATATGAAAATCTCATCATCAATATAAAAAGTTGACTGAATTTTTCCGAAGCAAGACGATTATCGCATCGGCGTGGTACCTGAATATCCTGCAGGAGCAGAGTGCATTACACAACATTCTTACTATATGGTCATGAAAATGGCGATGTAAAGTCGGAGATATGCGAACACTTCAGGGTTCCAATGATCATCGACTTTATGTCGTCATTTGCATTTGATGAACTCAGAATGTCAGTAGTACAAAAGCTGAACTTACGATAGTAGGTATATGTGATTGGTCATTTCATCAGGTAACCAACACTCATCAACTGAGGTGGTTGGGACATTTCCCATGTATTCCCAGCCACTGTCTATCAAAATGTACCGTATTAGGTGAAATAGAATTTGGTTGAAAAAAAGCTTGCGGTGGCTAAACCAAGATATGATGCCTATTCATGACGTCAATGATTTGTCGTGTGAGCTATGTAGTTAAGTGTAGGTCTGCTGGTTGATGTTTGTCAGACAACTAAAACATTGTTATAGTCTTAAGATAATGTAGCTGAAAAGTGACCACAGTGGCACAAATTCATCCAAATCCTATTTTCGTTTGTCTTGAAAATCTTTTGCCTTTTTCCCGCTTAATAATGATGCTTTGTGATTGCTGAAATATTTTTTGGACGTTGTCATGAAAAATGTAGCAACTTCAACTCATATTTAATTATGCGAAGTTGTATATTTCTCATTCATGTCTTTCATTATTTCCAAATCGCATTTTATGAAACAATAAAAAAGAAGGATATGGATTTAAGCATTTAACCGAAGAAAGGCTTGACAAGCAAAATGGATTTATTTTATCCTATAAATCTTATTCTGTTTGCCTTAATCTGAATTGGTTTCATTTTGCAAACAGTTTCTCTTTAGTATTCTATTTACTGGTATGACCTTTTCCTTACATTTCGGGAATAAGTCACACCCACTACCTGACTGACTAAACCTCGTTATGTACAGAGGGGTTCAAACCTGCGACCCATTGATTGAAATTCATTTCCTTACATCAATGAACCACAGACCAATTGAATACATAGAAGTGGTGGTAATAGAAGGTTTCATAACTTTCCTTAAGCAACGATTATTGGCTTGGTTTTTAAATGCAACAGATTTTCAATCTGCGGAAGTATAACGGCTTGATAGATTGTTTAATGTACGGGATTTTATTACAATGCCGTTTACATGAATAAAGTTCTAAGTAGGAATGTTCCTTTTCACCTAGTCTAAAATTTGTGGTGTCCACAAACAATTAAATTTATACTAGGTGATGATTGAAAGTGAAATGAAAATATGGACTATGACAGGGTTCGAACCATCACCCAGTATCAATACAAGTTTATGAAACCATGGCTATCTCAGATAGTCAAACTGGATTTTATCTTTTTTTCAAACAAATAAGAAATGTAATCTATTTTTGAGGTGAATGGGGATTTTTTAATTTAGAAGTAGCATTCATCGTGGACTGACATCAGTTACGGAACCATTGAAAATCTGGGAGCACTGGACAGCTGTTTCATCTTAGTACGGGACTCCTGAGCAGTACGCACCCACGACCCGGCTAGGGATGGAACTCAGGACCTTCAGGTTTCACAGCGAACGCGTTAACCATTCAGCCACTGGGTCGGTTTCCAGTGGTTCACAATTTCCAACTTCTTTCAATTCACGACGTAGCGCGACTATCACTCAAGGTCTTCAGTTAGCATCCACTTCACTTACGACTGGTTGACCCCACCCCATTCTTAACATCCATCTGGAAGCAAGCCACTAATGAGCATTATACAGTTATCTATTTTTTCATTGTCTTTGTTTATATTTCCTTGTTGTGTATTCTGCACACTTGTTCCTACAGATCAGATTATGTAAATTGGATAAGTATGATACTGGTTTCAACAATTTATTTAAAATTGATTTGGATTCATTTGGCTGCCTTATTGTTGAGTTGAGTTTATACTCTGTAGTCAATTATACTGAAGTGAATTTATGGAATCATGAGGAACGAATCACTTTTGCTCGTCAACATGCACGTTTACATTGGGATAAAATACCAAAGTAATTTTAATCATAATTGTGTATATAATTTTTGTATTATTTTATTTTTATTCCATGATTACTTCTTCTACTACTAACTTACCGATTTCCCTTTTTAAAATCATAATTTATTGATGTAAGTATTGTATTCTTACTTAGGCAGTCCTAAACTCAAGTTCATTCGTATTCTTCATATTGAGCTAGCAGTTGATGTTATCGGCTTCCATACTGTAAATGTTACATAATAAGGCAACTTAGTAACCTTTTGTAGGTTCCTATACCAGGTTAACACTGACTTTTGACTAAAAACTGCTATGGAATTTACTGTTATAATTTGATCCGTCAGACTTTATTTCATAACATTCGGCATAAATTACTTTTGTCATACAGTCCCAGATTTGTAAGTTGACTGACTGTAGATATCTCCGCTTTTGTCGAAGTGGTTGTATGCGTAAGCTGTATGTGTGATACCGGTGGGATGCTCTTATGTAGCTCAGAAACTACGTGGAGGTTAGCGAATAAGGCTGTGCACGACACCTCGTGTGTAGAGTAATAATACTACCTGCCTACTGTAATTTTACGAAGTGGAGCGGAGTCTAAATATGTAACGCAGTGGTTACAACTGGAGAATATGAGTCATTAAGATTTATTGTACTGATTTCAGGTTGGTATTCATCATAGATTGACACCAGTTGGAGAAACATTGGACAGCACTGGACAGCTGTTTTGTCCTAGTACGGGACTCCTGAGCAGTGCACACCCATCTTTCCACCCCTGCAGCGATTCCATGACCAGCATGTTGCTATTGAGTCACTCGGTCAGAATCCAATGGTCCATATTTCCTACTTCTATCAGTTCATTAAATAACGACTCCCAGGTTTCCAATCTTTCATCGACTGATGTCACTCCATAATGAATACCAACCTGAAATCAATAAAATCCCCATAAGCTTGTATTTGCATGGAGTTAATACATATTTGGCAAAGAATGAATGAACCTATTCATGTGAAAGCTTCTTAAATTTGTATCTCTTTCAACTGATCCGAGATGTTGTAGATGATATAGAAGTTGAGTAAATTATCATCTTCATAAAAAGCTTGTCCTATAAACTAACGTTTAAATCTTTATTTCTTTAATATTTTAATATTTCGAATGAGTTAGTTAACCTGGTCCAACGACTACCGAGAACAGAGTGAAATGGCTAGTGAAGCCCTATGTTCCACTAGGAACCCAAGGGACGAATAATAATAATGATAATAAGTAATGTGAGCAGTTTCTCTAAAGAGGTGCATTTACTGACCGCATGTTTATGTTTCTGATAAATTTAACCTTTGAACATTCATATTTTGAATTTTGAGGGAGAGGGCAAAGCCTCATGGTTGTGAGGATAGTTACTCAACGATGACATTGGGTGGCGGTTGCACTATATTGTGAGCTGACAGAAGTTGGAAATGTGGACCATTGGATTCCGATTTAGTGGCTAGCTCAATGTTAACGTGTTGGCCACAGAACCTGAAGGTCGCGGTTCGATCCCTGGCGGGGTTGTGGGTGTGCACTGCTGAGGAGTCCCATAGTAAGACGAAACAGCTGTCCAGTGCTCCCAGATTTCCTTTGTACTTCCAACTGGTGTCAGTCTACGATGAATAACAACTTAAAATATTCATATTTTGATTGTATTTTCTACATGATATCTACTCGTCGAAGAATTTTCATTAATTTCTTCTTTATCATGATAGTTGCCTTCATGATGCTGTTAATATTATTCTGCGTCCATTTGATCAAAATCTTGTTGGAGAGAATTTTCATAAACGTTTTCTGCCAACAGCAGATATTCTACTTCATTTAATATGTGAATTTCCGCCTTATCTTTACGACTTACAATATATTCGAGATTGGGTAAGTATTAATTTATCTTTGTAATTCTTTTTGTTTCCCATTATTTTTTTACCCGTATACCATATATCATTGGAATAGAGAAACTATACAACTCAGTGACTCAAGACAATATCAAATATCATAATCGAAGCCAGTGATGACCATGTATGTTATCGATAAGTAAAATGAAGCTGATGAATGCTTCTTTATATGTATTTTTAAGACTACCTCTAATGATAACATTCAGACCATAGTTGTTATGAATGTCCTGGAAGAAGTTAAGCATCGAGTCCGAAGGAATCATTATAAGAATATATTTTAAAACCTCTTTAATTGTTCGTCTACTCTTCCTCTCCTTGTTTTTTCATTCATTTATGTCACATTGCTGTCGTCATATCACTGTTAGATTATTTTGTGTGACGCATTTCTTTGTGTTCATGTTGGGTTAAGTTAGTGTTTTAAATGATATTAAAAGAATAACAATACCATTAATAATATTAATATGAATAATGTAACATTCAATTATGAATGCTATAACATTCACATGAATTAGTATTTTCCCAATCGTTTAATAGTGGTTAGTGAAACTGAGCGTTATTTATCACTAATCCGAGTTAGTGTTGTAGCCAAATAACACTACACTTATAGTGCAAATGTCGAAAGTTCACGCTTCTATCGAACTTTGTGACCGGGATAACTTAATGTTAAGGTGTTTAACTTTAGCATCAAACGACAGATTCAAAACTCTATAAAATTATGAATCATTGGTTTAATCAATCAGCCTTCATAAGATAGTTTTACGAATTCTGTCAGTTCGTGATGTAGCGCCATCATCACTTAATGTCATTAATGAGTAACTGTCTTCATATCCGATTTGATTGACAGTATAGGTCACTGTTTCTTGTAAGGACTTCGGGAAATCTATCGCTTAGGTGAAACAGACGTAGAACCTGCCACAGAAGTACATCAATCCAATGCTATAGATTTGATTAGCTCTTGTGCCTTAGTAGTCTAGTAAATAACCTCTGGCATTTGAGGTGACAGGCGTTGGGTTTGAATCTCATTGGCAACACCATCATTTGCCGGCATGTAGGCACGTTCAACTGACGTGTGAGTCCCAAACAGGACAAAACATGCATCCTGGACTCCACTGCTGGCTACTATACATCATTACTATCAAATGCATCAATTCAGGTTACCACATTGCGAATATCCAAAGTGAGTCGTTTTCTGAGCTAGGGTTTCAATTGGCAAAATTTTCAATATCAAGCTCTACAAAGACACTTATGCACTGACGACAATGTCTAGCATGAAACTGAAACGTTTGCCAACCAGCGCCCTAGCTGAGAGAACAACTCACTCCAAACACGCTCTGTAGTGCCCTGCAAAGAGGTAGTTAGAATTTAGAGTGATATTAAGGCAAACAAATGCATTGATTGAGAGAGAATAAATAAATAAAGGTTAGGGAAAATGTTAAAACTTTCACAGATATCAAAGAGAGAATACATCTACATTATTGTGACCGATTTTGAATCATGTCAATAAGCCCGTAATCATTTATTCCTTCTGTCTTAAAGACTTCATCGAGGCAGTCTACACCTTCCTGCCATGTAACTTGTTTTGAATGTGTCGATAATGACAACCTTGATGTGAGAAAGATTGATTAACCTTTCCTGTGTAACTCATCTATTCACTGATAGATGCTGCGTTAATATGGTGGTCAGGCTTGAATATCACGATGACCTAAAGAGTTATACTAGTGGAGCACTAGTTCCCTTCAGGTCCCACCTTACCAGAAAGATCTATTGGCTAATTATAAAATAAGAAGCTGTTATCGTTATGATGAAACTCTAAGAGCGAACTTCAACTGCGGGTTGGATAAGGAGTTGATAGCAGTAAGGTGTTTCCCATGGATGACCAGTGGTCCATACTAGTCGGGTCCTTCCTTTCCTCTATGGGAACGAGGAGGAGTCAACGCTAAAAGTAGCTCACTCTTTTTTGGTATGGAGTCCTTCGGTTTCCGTGGTATGGGTTTTCTAGTTGGTTTGAAGGGAATGAAAGTTAAATGTATGACTCCTACAAAAGTCGTGTGTGATCTACCTTAAGCAGATGCTCCATTGGCTCCACGGTCACACTGTACTATTACTAATCCAATTTTTTGTTATGGTGCTTCAAAAAGTAAATTTCCATGATGTAGGCAACCTGGAAGTGTCAGCCATTTTCATAACTCTGTCAGCACTCAAGTTCCTTCAGATCCTTATCAACCTTCCAGATCTTCACCTCCTCATCGAACTCGGTGGTTGAACACAAGGTGATGTGACCAAGAATCGATCTTATTGACACAAATGCGTCTACACATTATCATCATCATCTTAGTCATCGTATTGCATTTTTTTAATCTCATCTGTTCTTTCTTACTTCTCTGTCTTTCATCTTGGTGCATTCTCCTTTGATGTACTGATGGGAAGTGTGGGAACTTGGATCTTTACGCTGTAACGTCTGATCCCATGTTGATATTGACTCTGACTCTGTTTTTCTTTGATGCACTCCATTGTAACTATTAAGCCATTGGTTTTACTACTTGTATACATTTTGTACGATAATGCGTTCCTTTGGATTTCTGAAAATTTACGTGATCTCTTTTGCTCTTCTAGTCGTTATACACCTCCCTTTCGATGCCTTAAAGATCTTTTTTTTTGTTTGTTGGTAAACCTAAACCATTTAGCTGCTACATATTGCCCATCCCCATCGTCCATTTCAATCGGAATCGACTTCAAATTATTCACCCAAGACTCACCTGTTCTCAGCATTCTTCCCAGTTAATCAACAATGTACATTGTATAATACATCAGATGTATCCACTGTAAATATTCCTATTGATATTACTAGGATATTGTATCCTCAAATTCAAACAGCCGTTTATACCAATCCTATTTGGTTTTTAAATATTTTAAATTCATCTAAGATTTTGGAACACTTTTCAACAGTTGGTGGGAAAGAGGTAGGTTTTTACAGTGTCACGTTTTATTATACTATTTTAACAGTGTTAGTAATGGAATTCAAAATGCATGTTTTTTTCCTGTTTGAGAGTGCTTGGTTATATCCTTGCTGGGATGCGAGTAGTTATGTACTCATAACTTGAAACAAAATAACATATTATGTAGTAGTAATAGATAATCGCTAAAAGTGGAATCCAGGACACGTGTTTCACTGTATTTGGGACTCGTCAACTTGATACACCTGCTTCCCAATGAGCGATGTTGTCCCCACTAAAACTTGAACCCGTGGACTATCTCTTCGAATGCCAGAGCAAGCAACAAAATAAAGTAGCATATTGTATACTAAGCTGATTATTTCAATCCTCAAAGCCGACACTCTTAGCGTAGTCATATTGAAATTATTTTGTGAATACTTTATATATTTACCAACAAACACGTTGGTCGAGTATAATACTTGTTAACTTTCCAAATTATTTCCACTCTCTTGTTAATTTAAGTCAGTGAATAGGGTTTTCGCAAATGCTATATATAATATATATATATATATATATATATATATATATATATATATATATATATATATATATTTGACAAGTAGTTTTCACTGGAGGATCCACTTTTTATGTACTGACTTGTTTTCTGTTAGCTGCCTTGTTCATATCATCACAGTCTATTGGAATTCACTTAGTGGAGTTAGATTCAAAGAGATGATACTGTTTTCTTGTGGGAAAATCATATTCAACAATAAGGTTGTAAGGAAAATCGTGTTTGTCAATAGGTTAGTTAATACTCTCTATAGTTGTATTACATAGAAATGTAAATTACTATTTCGTAAAGTATTTTGTAAGGATATAGTACTGTGAGCTTTTCTGGTAGTTCCAACTGGAAATCGTCGAAGTCATACAATGGTTCTTACTTGCAGCCTGACGATTGTTTATTTGGATAAATCTTACTTTTATGAACAATGGTTTTCCTAGACTTAAGTGGTATACCTTCATCACAATTAAAATGGTATCATCACTATCAATTTGTTTAAATAGTTCCAGATACTCATGTGTTTCAAGGTCGTGAGTTTAGGTGGATGTATGATGAAATATATTTTGAACACAGAATTTCTCAGAATGAATTCACTTTTTAGTTCGCGGGTTTATGGGGATTTAGTGATTTTTCAAGTTGGTATTCATCGTGAACTGACATCAGTTGGAAGGACATTGGAAACCTGGGAGCATTGGATGGTTGTTTCTTCCTGGCACGGGACTCATCAGCAGCGCGCACCTACGACCTCACCTTGCCAGGGATTGGACTCAGGACCTTGAGGTTCCATAGCCAGCACATTAACATTGAACCAATAGGTCGGAATCGAATAGTCCATATTCCCAACTTCTGTCAGTTCACAACATGGCGCAACCATCATCCATGATGAATACCAACTTGAAAAATTACTAATTTCTCACAAATTCGCAAATCCAATTGATCTAATGCTCATTGGTGACTAGCTTTGAGAAGTGATTCTTGAAGTTGCAATGAAAAGTCGTGACCAATGCGGTAAAGTTGGTGGTCGTTAGGACAAATGCTCAGCGATGACATTGGGTGATGTTCGCGATATGTCATGAACTGGCAAAAGTTGAAAATATATAGACCTTTGAATTCTGACCCAGTGGATCAATGTTAAAGTTGCTGGTCACGGAACCTGAGTGTCCTGGGTTAGATCCCTTGCATGGCAGGGTCATGAATGCGCACTGCAGAGAGGTCCGATACATCGTAGACGAGACAGGTTTCCAATGTTTCTCCAACTGATGTCAGTCGCTGATGAATACCAACTTGAGAACTTACTTTTGTCTATGACCGTATGTATTTTCCTGCACGTCCAAGTAAAACAAAGTGAGTTGACGAACAATATTCTCACTTATTAGCTTTTTCCTTCAAAGAGTTACGCAACAGACGTGATGAACAGATTTTCTGAATCTGCTTCTTATCATAATTCGTCTTCTGTAAGATGATCTTTTTACTTCATTTAAAGTTGTGTTATGGTAAACTTCAGGTGTTTTAATGTTTTACGTGAAGTTCATTTCTTATATAGCACTTCTCAAAGACCAAAAGGTGAAACTTGAGTTTTATGTACATATTTAATTTCACTGATCAAAATTAGAAGATGAGGAAATTTTTATTTTGTTCTCTGAAATGTTTTCTAATCTAATTAAAGCAAACGTATCTGTAAATTGAATCGCACTGGTTTTTAAAGTCGATAAAAAATATCGCAAAATTTTTTTAACTTTTTGTCATTTTAAAATTCATTTATTTTGAAATAACTTTTACGGTTTAACGTGTAAACTGTAATTTTACGTATCTCTGAGCACTATCCTGCATGGTTGTTAAGGGGAGAATGTAATTTTACTTCATTTGTTATATATATATATATATATATATATATATATATATATATATATATATATATATATCGTGAACCAACATATCTTTATGAATATCCTAATTATTTTTTTACAGTTAGTACAATCACATCTTCTACCTCTCATTGTCTATCTGTATAAACCTGAACAACTCAAACGTATGTCAAATGATGTATCTTCTGGAATTCCTCTTGCTTTGTTATACTCACGTCGATTTTTACGACGTCTATTAGCCTACTTCAATGTAAACATATTTATGGTTCATATTTTGCCTTATATAACTTTGGGTCTTATTGGAGGAAGTTCAGAGGCTCTAATTGATGAAAATACTATATGGTATCAAAGAAGTCATACTGGTCTTACAAATGATGTCAATTCAAATGCATTAGATAATGAACCTCATGAATTTGTTCATAATGTAGATTTAAATGAAGAACAATCATTTCCATGTAGTCAGTCAAAAAATATAACTACATCTTATGAATTATTATATGATAAACAAGACATTTTAAATGTTGATGAGATTGGAATTGATCTTAGAAGTTTTATAAATGGTGAAGAATTCCAGTTGTTTAAAGATGCTAAAGGCTCATCTGAATTAACTTGTCAAAACTTTGATGATGAAGAGTGTGATGATACAACAAATCGTAGATCGCTTACCAACTGTTTGAGTGATGAAGTAACAACTCGTTCCGATTCACCAAGGTAAACACTTATGACTATATGATTCCTGTAGAAGTGATTATGGATTTGTTATTATTATTTGTCCGTTGGTTTCCTAGTGGAACATAGGGATTCACTAGCACATCACCATTTTTCACTCTCTTCTCTCCAGTCTTCTTTTTTAACATGCCTCTTTAACTGCCCAGAAACTTTTATTTCTTTCTCACATGAACTCCTCGAACACCTAACTCGTTGTTTCTCACTTGGCTTCCACTCGACGACCTGACCTGAAGCGTCATGTCACCAAATGGTCTTCTCAGTGTATGTCTAGTCTAATCCAATCCAATCCAATCCATCTCGACTCTCTTCTTCTACATATTTGTTGGGTGATAGGTTCTTGATTGATTTGGTTCGTTGGCAGTCAGAGTGAGTTCATTGTTGCTTATTCTTTGTGGCCTTCTGATCTAATCTTGAGTATCGAGTGAGCGTGGGCGTAGACGTAGGCGGCAGCTGTTGATGAATGTCTGTAGTTTGTCGGAAATACTTTTCGTAGTGATTATGGATATGAAGCATAAAAGGGAAAAACCAAAGCTTGGGGAATTTGGAAATGATCCAAAACTTTTCTCTAATGCTTAAGGCAAATCTATAGTCAGTACTTTTGGGATATAATACGATTACGGAGGTGTTGTAGATGATAAAGATGTAAGAGGGAAGTGACATGGAACATGTTGCAGTAGTTGACTTACCACTGCACATTGTCCCTAAATATGGTTAGGGAGATGTTTTCTCTCTCGAATGAAATACTGCCTACTTCCTGTTATGATTCTTATTGGTTTTCAATCCGTTAAGGGGGAAGGACAGTTATGTGAAGTTCCTGTCGTTTACTAATTAACAGCATTTATCTACTGTAGATTTGTACAGATCACAACTTACTTTTGATAAACTTCATCAACTGTCACTGCAGCCTGTATGCCAAATAGCATACAGGCTGTTAGTCTGACCGTGTACGACACTTTTTTTTTGGATACTCAACAACTGTTTCCTATCATGCCTTGGTCCCTAGGATTACTGAAATCATATGGCAACATCGTCTAAGTAATTATACAGTACTTGACGACTCATATTTAGATATGATAAAGGCCATTTCATGGTAAAAGAATTCATTTTGACACAATGTTTTCAATGGTTAGAAAGGGTTTTACGCATCTCAGCAGCTTCTACATCAGTTGTTATTCACTCATGCAGTGATATTAGATAAAAGATAGTTATGTTGGGTCAAAATCTGTAAGTTCATCATGAGTCTATGCATTCCTTCATTTATTTGTTTCCTCTTCTCTCATAAAGTTTTCAACTTCAATATCAACCTTTTTTATCCACTTCTTTTAGTGGTATGCTGTGAATAGTATGATAACTTGAACTGATGCATTTCTGGTCAAGATTTTACGTTGATATATCGATTTATCTATCTCGGCTGACGATGTAACCAAGCCTAATGATAAAATGTCCACGGCAAAATATGAGAGCTCAGAAAACACTAAACCACCATCATTCTTAACCTGAGCTACAAATCTTTTTCATCATTTCAAAAGTGGTTGATTATTCCACTTCAGTTTCGTGTGTCTGCTTTTGAATAGAGATATACAACGAAGGTGAAGTAGATAATAACGTAAAAGGAAAAGGAGATTGAATCTCAAAATGGGTTCTAGCGGTTTAGTTACCTTTGTATCTTAAGAGTCTTATGTTACTTTGTATAGTGTAATTCATGGTACCTGTGTTTCACAGAGTTTGATTAAAAACGATACCTTATAATGTCAGTGAGTCGGTTATACTGTCACTAAGAATTAGATTAACAGAACTATGTTGTCTCTACCCTGCTGTGTAATAGTGGAATAAAGCTGATAAACAGATGAGTAGTAGTATAGAATATTCAAGACTATTGATGTCTTCACTCTATTACTGTTATGTTAAGTGAACACCGAGTGAATTATACCTGAGTTTTAACAATTCCCGTCATATAAATTAGAACAAGACATATAAGCGAACAATGTTGTTTTCAATTAAATCCTCTTCAGGCTTTAATACAAATAACTTTATATATATGTATATTGAACCAATCATGTAGGTTTGTCGGTTGATATGATAAATGTTTAAAATAACGATGGGGATAATAATACAAATAATAATAATGAAATTGATAAAAGTGATAACGTTGACTGAAGCACATGCAATATAGATGATAATGATGATAAGAACCAAGAAAGCAGCATGAAAATGTAGACACTCTGATAATCAAAATGGGTCAAAAGCTTGTGAAAATATAAGTTACGTAATAGTGAAGGGCGAGGTAAGTGGATAAACAGAGCCCTAGACAAATAGAGTAAGTATACGAAAGGGGTGGAGAATAAGAAAACGGGTAGGAAAAAAACTGAGTGATAAAGTTATTAACTAAGCATTCCCTGGCCAAGAGAGAGATAAGGGATGTACAAATTTTTTCTGAATACAAAGGCTAGGATTAGTAGCTCGAATTCCCACAGCTTCTGCTATGTGTAAAAAACGAGTTTGAATACCTTTCGAAAGATGAGATGGTATGCGATGTATAATCGTGAAAGCAATGTTCTTATCCACCGAGTAACCACTATCAACGAGGCGAGATAAAATCGAGCTTCTGATAGATTTTATATGTTTGTATTAGAGTAAAGCCTGAAGAGGATTTAATTCAAAACAACATTGTTCGCTTATATGTCTTGTTCTAATTATACCTGAGTAAGGTGTGGAACTGTCGTTATAGACAACAAATCACTGTGTAGTATATTGAATTTACATGTAATGAGATGTACCGAGACTCATCTACTACAGCATTTAATGTTGGATGGTGTGGTCAATTTCTTCCTGAATAGTTACATAAAAACGTTCAACGCTTACTGTAGTTTTTAATGTTATTTTCCTGTTGGATTATTTACCTTTTAGTAGTACTTCGCAAACGTCTAAATCATCTGAAATAATACATGATGGTTCAAGAGGAGATAAACATACCAATAAAGAAGGAAAGAAAGTTACAACTCCAGACGTTACATCTGTTTGCACTAATGCTACTAGTAATAGTAGTAATTGTGCCTATATCAGTAGTATCCCACCAATTACTGCTGCTATGGACAGTCTGAATTGGTTTGCAAAACGTGTTGGCCCTGTAATGACTGATAAATATATTGTCAAGTATTTATTAACTACACTGACACTATGCTATGAAGTGAGTCATTTACTAACTCCTTTCTGTTCATTGTACTTTACAGGTTAAAATGTGTCGTTAATCTTATGTTTGTAGGGAAAATTTTCCCTTTGCGAATTATCGGGACTATCATTTAAAGTTGCAATCCTCCTCAGATGGTATGTATGTACCGATTTTTTTAAAAGGGTGCTGGTCACTTCAACAATGATCTTAATTCGTAGTTGTCGATTCATTGTTCTCGATTTGAATGGCTTCGTATCACTGAATACTTATAGTCATTTCTCTGTAATCTAAAAATTTAAATATCACTAACCGATGAAAAGACACTAGAAGATTTGGATTTCACCGACGATGATATCAATCTAGTGTCGCACAAACTTGAAGATCTACAGCAGAAAAGGCAGGATAGCGAAGACGGGACTTCCTTCAGGTGAGCGCACAAAAAATACAGGTGATGAAGACACTCAACCGCCGCCGCCACCACCACCACTACCACCACCACCAACAAGTACCAGTCATCACCAACGGGAGAAATCTAAACGAAGTTGTCTCTTTCACCTACCTACCTACCTTCCTTGGCAGCATCATTTCAACTACAGGCAGAGGCACTGGCACAGATGAGGATATCAAAGCCAGCCAGGATCGGAAAGACAGCAACACAGGCCTTCCTGCATCAATCTGAAATCAGTGTGGAGATCTACTGCACTGCACTGCACTGAACCCCACTCAGCATAAAGCGTGACCAACATCCGGATTTTCAACATTAATTGAGTCAAGTAAGTCAGTGCTTCTATGTAATGGTTGAGAAACTTGGCGAATGTTTTTTGCGAAAAGCATTCCCAACAAACTACAGACATTCATCAACAGCTGCCGCCTACGTCTACGCCCACGCTCACTCGATACGATACGCAAAATCAGATCAGAAGGCCACAAAGAATAAGCAACAATGAACTCACTCTGACTGCCAACGAACCAAATCAATCAAGAACCTATCACCCAACAAATATGCAGAAGAAGAGAGTTGAGGTGGATTGGATTGGATTAGACTAGACATACACTGAGAAGACCATTTGGTGACATGACGCGTCAGGTCAGGTCGTCGAGTGGAAGCCAAGTGGGAAACAACGAGTTAGGTGTTCGAGGCGAGTATGACAAGGGGGAGTTCATGTGAGAAAAAAATAGAAGCTTCTGGGCAGCTGAAGAGGCATGTTAAAAAAGAAGACTGGAGAGAAGAGAATGAAAAATGGTGATGTGCTAGTGAAGCCCTATGTTCCACTAGAAACCCAACGGACAAATAATAATAATCTTAACAACAATCATAAACCGTTCATATCCGATACAAATATTGCTGATGTTAAATGTCCCTCTTATGAATATTGTCTTAGACCACTGGTGACTTTACACTTTTTTTTTAACGTCATTTCATGAGGACATGTAGAGGATAGTATGAAGATTGTGTTGGTTTCCTATTCTTTCAGCTTGAACCTCTTATCCAGAGCTATACCCAACTCTTGTTTATCTCGTGAAATATGCAAGTATAATGCTCCACTTTATTCCTTCAGTTTTCTTTCTTATGCCTTAGTCATTGGGGTGAGACTAATGCAACAACTATGCTTTGAGTCTGTTTAGTGGCTGATGTATGTCTTATTATAGAAACATATTTCATTTTAATGAAATTGAACCACGCTTTGTATTTTCTCGTTGACTGGTATTCCCTGTAAAACATTACAATCTTCAAGCACCTAGAGTAGGTTATAGATTTGATCATCTCACTGCTTATTTTTGAACAGGTTCGACTTTACATCGGTTGTAATTTTGCCATTTTAGATTTTGAGGGAATTTAGCTAAACATAGAACGGCAGACCCCAATAAGATCAATAATCTAGAAAAACACTCGGCCATTGCATTACATTCATTAACACACAACCACACAATAGGGTGGGACAAAACCACTGTACGTAAGTCTAATATAGCTAGGTAGAGAGAGAGATTAATTACTGAATCTTTGTTCATCGAATCCACATCCAACACATGTAATAGGAATGACGCAACACCTATACCAGAGATATGGGAAACTTTACTACCAATCAAAAAACAAAAAACAAAGAGAAATCAGGTGACAGGACTATAAAATCAGATATCGAAAGAAGTGTGATTACATTGATATGATTATGAGCAACAATTTATGCTCGAAACGTAATCAAGTAAATAATACTGTATCACTATGCACTATATATCAAATAAACAAACCTAATATGGAATTTGAGGGGGTGGGTTTTACATGTCAGAGATTTCAAAAATTTCTACTACCTTTTTTGAGTCTTGCTGTATCAGAACATATCTGCTTATTTTGTGCCAGTAATATACCTATCCATCTAGTTGGTTCATCTTCAATGAAAGTTGTTTGATGATATAAGTTGACTTAGGCGCTAATTAGACATAGGGATACGTGAAATATTTGTCGGTGTCATTCGCTAGGTTGCTTTTACGAAGCACACCCTTTTAACTCAAGAGGAATTATCTTTTGGAGAAGATTTATTCACTCCATCATTAGATTTTTTGTTTTTTTTTTAATCCCCAGCTGCCTTTGAATAACTGGTTGTTATGTTAGTCGATAGTAAGGTATACACATTGATTAATATGTCCATATTTTGTAGTTTAGCTGGAAACCTCTTCAGCAAGATCATTTTGATACTTCTGTATTTCTTTACCTCCTATAATATTCGAATGATTTGTACTTGATAACTATGTGGAATCTTATTTTTTATGGTCAATTGTACTAGTTTTATAGCCTTTCATTAAATATTCTTTTTTTTACATAACTTCAGATTTCATCAATTCTATAGACCACTCCTAGTCCTGATTTACATATCTTTTAAGCTTTAGTCTTCGTTAACGAAAAGATTTAGTGAAGACTGATCACTTTTGATGCTATCATAACTTTTGTTGTCAATCTCTGTCTTAATCGTCAATAGGGCTTTTGTATATGTTTGTATACGTTTTCCTCCCACATAGCCTGTTAATACTCACTTAAGATTTGAGTATTGGGAATGATTATTCAATTTTTTTCACTATCAACTAAGTTTTGTGTTAACCTAGTGTTGGGTTTGTACTATTGGTTTAAATTGAAACTGTTTAGTGTATCACTTCCCTATTATTTTTCAATATGCAATACATTACTCTATATTTCTTCAATATTTATTTACTCAATCCCAATCTACTTTGATTTGCAACAATGTGTACTTTACCATTTTATTTATTATAAACCCCTGTGCTCACCAAAGACCCAAACAGTCATTAGTGGCATCATTTCTTGAAGTCATTAACTACTAGTCTGACTAGTTTAAGACTAGATCTACCCTTTGGCTTAGTTTCTTGAGATAGTAAGAATCTGTGGTTGAAGATCCCGAGTTACATAGCTCAAAATAATTCATAGTAATGTTGATATGATCCCTCTTTATCGTCTTCAATGTTTTGAGTTAATTTATGACAATTTCCTTTCCTCTTACTAATATATGATGATGAGTAGTATCGAGAAAGATGGATATTGTTTTATGATTATATCGGAATTCGGTAGTTGAAGGAAGTGTATAAATACTACACAGATTTCATTTAGATGGTGGTGGTTCTTGAAGAAGCAATTGAAATGTTGGCATTCTTGATTTAACTTCTTTATTCTATCCTCTTCTTCCAAGCTACTCTATTCTTTTGTATTTTTCTAAGGTGTGTATATCATGTTGTCTAGCCTTCTGTATTGAGTCAATTCATGTATATGTATACATAGCGTACTCCATTATATCATTATTATTACATTTGTAGAAAATAATAATAACAGTAGTAACATATTTGCTTCTTTTCTAACCATAAATTTACTAACAGTAGAGAATTCTCACCATGTGATACTGCATCAGTTTACCCATAGTGCTGCTTAACGATAATATGGTTGTTGAAATGCTGAATGACTTCGCTGTTGCGAAGTTGATTGATAAGACTATATCTTCACACAATACACAAGCTAAATAAGGTCATATGCATGAATTTTTGTATGTAGTTGTTCATGCACAAAGTTTAATATATTCACTTCTTATCTACCCAGAAGACACATGTAAAGAGGTGCAGATACAGAGGATGTTTATCATCAGGTAAAATATTTTTTTACCAGCTGCCTACGAGATTTCAGATGCTTATCCACAACCGCTTTTATCAGCACGGTTTGTAGTGTACTCCTTACTACTCTACAACCTTCAAGATCCCACGCAATACAGTGTAGTCTTTATTCTGGAATCCAGGAAAGAATAAGTGGGAGCAATAAGTAAGAATAGACAAGACGAAGGAAGTAATAAAAAAGTAAGAGTAGATGCTGAGTTATACCAAATAGTCTAAGTTTCTTTATGCAAAAAATGATGCGAAGGATTTTCCTGGAAATCAGTTAAATATGACAGGACCAAGAAAAATCAAAAGAAAAGCGTAGGCTAAGACCGATCACATTTAATACTTTATTAATTTAAAACATCTATAAAGTGTATGCTTTTGTGTTGTGCTAGGTTGTTTTTCTGCCTCGTAGTTATGCTGAAATAATAATAACAATATATTCACTGTTATGTCTACAGTAGAGAATTCTCACTATGTGAAATTGCATCAGTTTACCCATTGTACAACATTTTTAAAATGTATAGAGTAATAATGGTGCTGTTTAACAATATATGAGAATGAACAACATGACTGGTGAAATGGCTTAATGAATTCGGGGATATGATAACTACTCACTATTGCAAAGTAGTAATCTATTCATTATTCTTACTATCATAAGACAATTATTAATACTGTTGTTTCAAGTTCGAGTTTTACTGGGAAGAATATTGCTCACTGGCATGGGGGTTACATCCAGCTGTCGAGTCCCAAATAGGACGAAATGCGCATCCTGGAATCCACTGTTGGCCACAATCCATTATTATTACGAGAAAATTAACAGTGTTTTGAGATTTTTGAAATTCTATCCAGAGAAATACTTCTAACTCGATTATTTAATCATTTTGTTTACTTAAATATATAAATATTCCTCTGTTGATGGTTATAAACACCTTCAATATGTTAATTTGGACACGCTGGACCGCAAAAAAGAACCTAGAAGATTTGGATTTCACTGATGGTGATGTATGTCTAATGTCATACAAACTCGAAGGTCTACAGGCGAAAACTAACAAGTTGGCAGAAAAAGAAGGACAGCGAAGACAGGACTTAAAGTGAATGTAGAGAAGACAGAGTTGATGAAGATACCCAAACAACAACAACAGCAACAACAAGGTCCAATCACCATTAAAGGTAGAAACGTAAAGGAAGTAGCCTGCTTCACCTATCTAGGCAGCTGTATTTCAACTACAGGCGGCACTGGCACAGACGAGGACGTCAATGCCATCCAGGATCGGAAACACAACAAGACAGGTGTTCATTAACCTGAAACCAGTGTGGAGATCTTCTGCACTGCACTGCACTCAGCATAAAGTGTGACAAGATCCGGATTTTCAACACTAACATCAAGTGAGTGCTTCTGTATGGTTGATAGACTTGTCGCGTTACGAAAGGGATTGTCAACAAATTACAGATATTCATCAACAACTGCGTACGCTGGTTGGTTACTGAGATGAGATGAGATGAGATGAGATGGCGAGAATGATAAGAATAAGCAAGAAGGAACTCTGGCTGGGCAAGGAACCAACGAAGAATCTATGGCTCAACAAATATGCACTGGAAGGAAGTGTGGATGGATTGGGCATACAGTGGAAGGGCTGATTTGGGACATGAGGTGTCAGGCGAGTTACTGGAGTGGAACCGAGATGGGAAGTGACGAGTTGGGTGTCGGAGGTGAGGGTGATATGTAGGAGATGGTGTGAGGAAGAGATGAGAGGTTGTGGGCTGTTGTGGCGACAGGTTGAAAAGATTGGAGAGAAGTGAGTGCAGTGGATGCGTGCTAGTGAAGCCCTATGTTCCATTAGGAACCCAAGGGATAAATAATATTATATAATAATATCTCAATGTAATGTCTGCTGTCTTTATGATAAGAGGAAAATAAGTTTTCAAGTACAATTTCATTTCTATATATTGATGAATACAGGTAGCTAATCATATCTTTGTTTGCTGTATTCGGCTGCTTCTACATGTATATTGAAAGTATCAAAAATAATTGAAGGTATAGTAAATGTTTATCCTGTCATTGAGCATCTTATTAAAAACGTTGGTTTTTGGTTCACAACTGATTAGATCTTCGATATTGTTCTTCTAATTCATATGTTAGCTATTTTACCCCCTTTTAAAACTCACTTTTAAGCAAACCAACCTTTTCCCTATATCATTTTATCCTTGTCTTCTTTTGAATAAATTTCAAGTTATACCTCTTATCTAATAGACATTACTCAAAGCTTCTATATGTAGTAGAACTTCTTTATTCTTTGATACATGTTCCTATCAAAACTCTCTTCCAACTGAATGAATAGAGATTATAAAATTTTAGATGGTGAGCGCCCTAAGCAGGTTTAGCGTTTGTCGACTATCTTTCTTTCATTTCATGCAGATATTAACCCTATGTGTGTGTGTGTGCTTAAAATGAAATGGTCAATGGTCAGTCTCTGAATACTTTTATAATGAATAATATTTCAAAAACTCATCAAATCTATGCAAACTTGTAATCCTTTGTTTTCCTATCTTTTTTAATTTCAAATTAGTATTACTATGGTTTTACAATTGTTATCACTGTTATAATCACTTATTGCAATCTTTTGCCATTTTGATACAACTTTTCATGCATTTAGCAAACTGTATTCTGATAGGCATTAATTCCAGCCAACTATTTCAGGATATTTAACTATTTTCCTCCCACAAATGTACTTCTAATAGATCTGCGACTCATCGGTCTATCCAGTCAACTTTCAACTACTTGGTCATAGGTTTGAATTACCCTACACCTACTGAAGTTTGGGCAGTCAGTTAGTATCATTGTCCTTCATACAATAAGTATGGCTTGTTACTGTGTTGCACAGTGCTACTACTTCTAATTTGATTGGATTGTTGTATGTGGGACTGTACTGTTTTTTTAAGCTGGATAACTTTCACAAGAATTTACATATATATTTAAGCTGATATTTCGATGACTTATTTGTCTGCCTTGGAGGTACTCTCCTGATGAATGTTCTGTGAAATGATGTGCTGATATCTTAGTCTGCAAACAGTACTCTTTTGCCTGATTTCCCTATGTTAACCGTGGTCAAACACTTGATGTATGAAAAGTATTACTTTGCTTTCCATTGTTTTTTTTGAATAACATATAAAGCGATGTCGTTTTTTCTTTATTTGTTAGGGTAAAAGCCAACTGTCTGTTAACAGTGCAAATTCATCTGAAAAATGCCTATTATTTCCTTCACAAGTTAATAATCTCTCACTAGTTGGAGATCGTTCAGCATTAAGTGTTCTGAGGTGTTTAGAACAACTGGTACAGATCTATGGTGTATCTTTTGTATTAGATGTATATTTACCTTTTGTAGTCAAAACTATTACTTCAATTACTGCTTCTATATCATCTGGAACCAGTTATTCCAATACTTTGATCAATACGAACTACTCTACTGATGTAACAGAAGGTTCAAATAAAACAAGTGTGGCGATATTGTCAGTTAGATGGAGTTATCGTACGCTTGCTCGACTTGTTGCAAGTCTTACACTATTATATCAGATTATCATATACCTTCCTGATAATGAACTTGTTGAGCAACTACAAGTGAGATGTTAAGATTTATCATTTTTCTTATGCTTAAACTTTTATTAGCTTTTTATAACAAAGAAATAGGTTTGTTATCGTCTACATTAACATAGTGTTGTAAAATGAACTTAATTAGAACATCACCAATTTGTATTTTGCTTTTCATTCACAAGATAAGTTTCTCAGTCTAGATTGTGAACCATCATATTGATTCCTGGAGAGTGAATGACACTGTCCAATTGTTCTGAGAAAGCGTGAAATAATCCGATTTTTGAATATATCTAAATATACTTTCAAGGTAGTATTTATCACCGGCTGTTATCAGTTGGGAGCACTGGACAGCTGTTTCGTCGTAATATGGGGCTCTTCTGCATTATGCTTCGAGATGGTTATCCCGAAGTTGTAATGCGAAGCCGTAACCTATCGGGTCAATCAGTCGGAAGTGAAGCGAATGTGAACTGAAGACCGTAGTAAATAGTTGCACTGTATTGTGAATAGACAGACAGAAATAGGTAACTTTGTACCACTGAACTCTGACCGAGTGGCTGAATGGTTAACGCATTCTCCGTGGAACTTGAAGGTCATGAGTTTGATCCCTAACAGGGTCGTAGGTGCGTACCTCTTAGGAGTCCCTTACTAGGACGAAACAACTGTTCAATCCTCCAAGATTTTCTATGGTTCTTCAACTGGTGTCAGTTCATGATGAATACTATCTCAAAATTAAAATACTTGTATTCAAAGACGTTAGATATTTTGTATAAGAATGTCTGAAGTCAAGTAAATAAATGCAGAATATTGGTTAGTTGGTAGCGGTAACCTAATTGGATACTAATATTTAGATCAAGTAGTCAAGAGATGTAGTTTATCTGAAAAGTTTAGTTTAACGGTTTGTTCATACATTCACTTGTCCAGGTATTTGATATGAAATCTGGAAATATGACAGTGTGAAATGTGAAAGTAAGAAAGGTGTGAAATATACCTATCGGGATATGTAAGAAGAACAAGTATCTCAGCCAAGAGTCTTTTTCCTCACATTAACTGAAATACTTGTTCTTCTTTCGTATCCTGATGGGTATATTTCACACATTGAAATCTAGCAAAGACCCTACGACAGTGAAAGAACTCAGTGGGTTTCTACGATACTTTGTCAAACTTGCTGAAGTTAATCCGAGGAAAAGTAAGAAAGGTAGCAAAAGAAGAAGACTAACTTTTGAAACCAACCTGGGTCATATGATAACATACGCAAAGAGAACTTGAATTTGCGTATGATTAGTGCTTCAGCAAACCTAGGTACACATGCCTTATTCTTACCACAAGAAATTTTAAATATTGTTTTAATATCAGTCGTGTAACCTTTTACAATGGATGCAGATGGCTGTCTACTCCCTACGCTTATCAATTTTTGTGAATTCAACTGCTTTTGTAGCCATTTTGATGCATATAGCAACTCATTAAACCCTATGCGCTAGTGCACAACCTTCGAATCGATCGTTAGTCAATAGAGTGAGGAAACTAGGAGCCAAATTTTTTATTTAATGGCATGCTGATGATTAGGAGGCACGGTAGGTACCTGAAAAAACAGTGATAATCATTGACTAACTCAGAATATTATTATTTGACCATCTGAGATAGTCGTGGTTTGGCAGATTAGTATCTATGCTGGTTGATGTTTGAAGGTGAAATGAAAATTTGGACCGAAGCCGGATTCGAATCACCGACCATTGGACCTGGTAGCTCAGTTGGTAGAGTATCGGATCAAAAACCCAGTGTTCACTGGTTTGAATCCAGTCACGGTCCAAATTTTCATTTCACTTTCAATTGTCATCTAGTATAGAATAGTTTGATCTTTAATTACAGTATATCGGTTTAACCAACTCACAAAGCTTTTTTGTTTTAAAATTTCTCTCACTAACTAGCTATATTTGTATAATGCGCTAATGAAATTAATTTTTTTCTTTTCTGCTACTTAGGAATCTGTTATCCAAGATGCTCTCATTAAAGCTGTTAAAATGTCTAGTCGGTTCGATATATCTTTTCCAGGCACTGTAATTGGACGTCGTGCTATTCTATATAAATTTATTGATACAGTATTTATTATTGGTTTACGTGTTGGCTTTGAATTAACTCGTACTCAACTGACATCTGTATTTCAAGTATTTTTTGCACTTTTTGATCGAGTAATCAATACTACTCTTACGAAAAATATTTTATCAAGTTCGTTGTTCATGTTTATATGTTCTTAAAATCTCTATTTTTTTTGTTTAAATATGATATATATATATATATATATATATATATATATATATATATATATATAATATATATATTATATATATATATATATATATATATACCTATACGGACCAAATCGTAACGCAACGCATCATCATAGGACAGAATATAGAATGGCAGTCAACTCAACCTCAACTTCATCAATTCTGAAAAGGCCTCCGACAGCGTCGACCGAGAAGTAATTCGGCAGACAGCTGCTTCAACACTACGGTTTTAGTGCCTCAAACCTTTATCAACTTCATTCAACAACTACATGAAGATGTCACATACCAAGTGATTCACAATGGAAAGCTGAGTGACGCCTTTGAAGTGAAGTGAAGACAAGAGTAAGACAAAGCTGTCTACAGTCACCGATCATCTTCCTGATTGTAGTGGACTGGACCATGCAGCGAACGTTGAGGAGCGAGAAAAAGAGCATCCGCTGGCTGGACCGGTGAAAAGACCCTAGAACATTCGGATTTCGCCGATAACTCATGTCTAATGTCATACAAACTCGAAGATCTACAGGCGAAAACTAACAAGTTGGCAGAAAAAGAAGGACAGCGAAGACAGGACTTAAAGTGAATGTAGAGAAGACAGAGTTGATGAAGATACCCAAACAACAACAACAGCAACAACAAGGTCCAATCACCATTAAAGGTAGAAACGTAAAGGAAGTAGCCTGCTTCACCTATCTAGGCAGCTGTATTTCAACTACAGGCGGCACTGGCACAGACGAGGACGTCAATGCCATCCAGGATCGGAAACACAACAAGACAGGTGTTCATTAACCTGAAACCAGTGTGGAGATCTTCTGCACTGCACTGCACTCAGCATAAAGTGTGACAAGATCCGGATTTTCAACACTAACATCAAGTGAGTGCTTCTGTATGGTTGATAGACTTGTCGCGTTACGAAAGGGATTGTCAACAAATTACAGATATTCATCAACAACTGCGTACGCTGGTTGGTTACTGAGATGAGATGAGATGAGATGAGATGGCGAGAATGATAAGAATAAGCAAGAAGGAACTCTGGCTGGGCAAGGAACCAACGAAGAATCTATGGCTCAACAAATATGCACTGGAAGGAAGTGTGGATGGATTGGGCATACAGTGAGAAGACCGATTTGGGACATGAGGTGTCAGGCGAGTTACTGGAGTGGAACCGAGATGGGAAGTGACGAGTTGGGTGTCGGAGGTGAGGGTGATATGTAGGAGATGGTGTGAGGAAGAGATGAGAGGTTGTGGGCTGTTGTGGCGACAGGTTGAAAAGATTGGAGAGAAGTGAGTGCAGTGGATGCGTGCTAGTGAAGCCCTATGTTCCATTAGGAACCCAAGGGACTAATTATATATATAATACTGATACAACTTAGCAACTGTTCAGTTGTACATATTTTTTCTGTTTGCATGTTTGAAGATGTCAGTTAGGTTATTCAGGAAATTATCAGATTATAAAGAGTTGATGAACGTAGTTGATAAAAAATACTCAATCATAACAGTATTCCGACCAATATTCTCTTGTTCATTAGCAGTGCATTGACTGGAATCCGCTGATGATCTATGCCATTCGAGTACTAAAGTCAAAATTTCAGTCTTTGATAGCTCTATTACTTTTAGAGCCTCTAATTTCCTTTTCAGGGTTATTACCTTTTGAATTGATGTCATTTAATGTTCTACTGAAGAAAACTAAAAGTTGTAGGACACTAGAATTGTCGGGACATCATGAACTGTAAATAGTCACTCCGCATATCATTAATGATTCTGTCACTCAACTGTACGTCAGTCCAAATTGTGTGAATATTATGTCGAAAAAATTTTTATTACTTTGAAGTGATTATTATTTATCCTAATGATTAGATCTGTTTCTCCATTTTTTTTCAGGTAATAATTATTCAGTCGATAATCAGTGTTATCAAGTGGTATTTTCTGATGCAGAGTTGACTGAAGACTTTTCACAGCATTCAAATATAACTGGTATCTTCGCTGAATTAGTCGAAACATTTAATTGTGATCTAGCACGTTTGGCATACATTTCATTTTGTCATTTGGCTGGTTAGTATACGCTTACTTTGTAATTGTCAGAGAGGTTTTACTATAATACATGATGTTTTATATCGTATACGGCAGTTTACCCTTCTTTATATAAATATATAATTCTTGATGTATACTGTAGACTACAATTATTATTATTTGTCCGTTGGGTTCCTAGTGGAACATAGGGCTTCACTAGCACGTCACCATTTTTCACTCTCTTCTCTCCAGTCTTCTTTTTTAACATGCCTCTTCAGCTGCCCAGAAGCTTCTATTTCTTTCTCACATGAACTCCTCCTTGTCATACTCGCCTCGAACACCTAACTCATTGTTTCCCACTTGGCTTCCACTCGACGACCTGACCTGACGCGTCATGTCACCAAATGGTCTTCCCAGTGTATGTCTAGTCTAATCCAATCCAATCCATCTCGACTCTCTTCTTCTGCATATTTGTTGGGTGATAGGTTCTTGATTGATTTGGTTCGTTGGCAGTCAGAGTGAGTTCATTGTTGCTTATTCTTTGTGGCCTTCTGATCTGATTTTGCGTATCGTATCGAGTGAGCGTGGGCGTAGACGTAGGCGGCAGCTGTTGATGAATGTCTGTAGTTTGTTGGGAATGCTTTTCGCAAAAAACATTCGCCAAGTTTCTCAACCATTACATAGAAGCACTGACTTACTTGACTCAATTAATGTTGAAAATCCGGATGTTGGTCACGCTTTATGCTGAGTGGGGTTCAGTGCAGTGCAGTGCAGTAGATCTCCACACTGATTTCAGATTGATGCAGGAAGGCCTGTGTTGCTGTCTTTCCGATCCTGGCTGGCTTTGATATCCTCATCTGTGCCAGTCCCGACCGATAGCTGCTACCTTGACGTGGTGGTCGGGCTTGCATATCACAATGACCCAACGAGCTATGCTGGTGGAACGCTTGTTCCCTCGAGGTCCTACCATACCAGAAAGGTCTGTTGGGTAGTGGTTAGACGAAAAGCAGTTACCGTCATAGTGTAAATTGCTACACTATGATGGGGGTCTGAGGGCGAAGTCGTACTGCTGCTAGCTGGATGGGGTGTGACAGCAGTAAGGTGTTTCCCTTGGATGACCAGCAGTGCCAAGCTGATGCTGCCTTCTCAGTGGAAGGGGGGGTTAGAAAAGGTCGGCCCCAAAAATAACACACTCCACCACGCCCCACGGTCTGCCGGGCCGGCGGTGTTGGTTCACTTGTCGTTTCCTTTCGCTCATCCGGCCCCAAAAATACAAAAATTCAAAATAATCATACTCAAAAGGCTGGGTGTGACAGGCCTCAAGCAGATGTCCGATGGGCTCTGCGGTCACACAAATCTCTTTCAGGTACCTTAAGAAGAAATAGCCTTCCACGGTGTGGGCAGCCGGGAAGTGTCAACCGCCCTCACAACTCTGTCAGCACCCAAGTTTCTTCTGACTGCTATCCTCCTCCTCCATCATTACCTTCTAATCTTCCTTCACGTCTCTTAATTAATGATGCTGCATCATCTTCAATTTCTCCTACCTCTGCAGCCTTCGACAACGATCTGAGTCCACAGAACAGCGTCCCTGGTCTCCTTAAACCACGCTCCAAATTACATATTGGAGCCTTCAATGTCCGCACCCTCCGTCAAATTGGCCAACAGGCTTCGTTGGCAAAGACTCTAGCAACTCGGGGCATGGATGTGTGCTGTGTTTGTGAGACACGCATACAGGACCCAAGTGTGGTTATTCACCTGACCTCTCCTGACCAATCTGGTGAATCTGCAAAATTCACCCTTCGAGTTTCTGGAGATTCGATAGCTAGCTCTCGTGGTCTTGCAGGTGTAGGTATAGCATTAAGCACCAGGGCAGAAAACTCACTACTAGACTGGATCCCAGTTGATAGTCGCCTCTGCGCTATGAGGCTGAACGGCACAGTGAGAACTAAAAGGAATAGTGAGACTCGCCGTTGTCTCTTTGTAATCTCTGCTTACGCACCCACTGACTGTAGTTCGGATGAAGTGAAGGACGAGTTCTACCATAAACTGTCTAACCTCCTCTCGAAAGCCAAACGTTCGGACGTAGTGGTTGTTGCAGGTGACCTCAACGCACAGGTGGGTAGACTGAGTGAGGCAGAAAGGCACTTAGGTGGCACTTTCGGAATCCCAGCTGAACGTACAGATAACGGTGATCGCCTATTACAACTATGCTCAGATAACCGCCTATTTTTAGCCAGCACAAATTTCAGACATAAAGAAAGGCACTGTCTGACCTGGCGTCCACCGAGCTCGACTCAGCGATGGACACAGATAGACCACATTGCTATTAGTCATCGCTGGAGAGGATCGGTGGAAGACTGCCGCTCCTTCTGGAGTACGTGTTTGGACAGCGATCATGCGTTGGTCCGAGCACGTATATGCCTGCGTCTCAATGGACGTAGAAAAAATTTGGCAACAAAACCACTACGAGTTCTGCTGGACAACGAAAACACCAAAGCCGTGTTCAGTGAGAAGTTGGCTAGGCAGTTATCGGAACAAAAGACTGTCACTCATCCAGAAGAAGCTTGGTGCCATCTTCAGTCTACTGTAAAAGCAGCACTGGAGACTGTAGCCGACTCCAAGATAATGGCTAAAAAGAGCCAGTGGATATCAGCAGCTTCTTCCAAACTAATGGATGCACGTGAATGCATCCCTGCAGGCTCTGAGTACAATGAAGAGCGAGCGCAACTTAAAAATAAACTGACGAAAAGTCTGCGCAACGATCGTGAACAGTGGTGGGCAGCAAAGGCTAAAGAGATGGAAAAGGCAGCGGCGATCGGTAACAGTAGACAGTTATTTAGACTTATTAAGGAGACTGGGGGGAAATGGTCAACAACAGTTAGTGAGGTTATAGCGGAGAAGGACGGATCGGCGATTCACTCGCAGGGAAGGCGACTGGGACGATGGGCAGAACACTTTGAGGAACAGTTTAACTGGCCTCCAGCCACCATTGCGCTGCCCGCTATCCAGTCGGACCCTGAATGGGACATAGAGACAGGTCCCCCAACACTAGAAGAAGTTGAGAAAGCGGTAGGTAGCCTGAAACGGGGAAGGGCAGCAGGACCAGACGGACTACCTGCTGAGGTATACAAGAATGGTGGTAGAGTTCTCTTAGTCAGGCTAACGGAAGTGTTAGCCAGTATATGGGAATCAAATACGATCCCCTCCGACTGGTCTAAGTCACTGATCATCCCAGTCTTCAAGAAAGGCGAGAAGTCCTCTTGTGATAACCACAGAGGAATCAGCCTGACAAACATAGTGTCTAAGATCCTAAGTTCTATAATTCTCCGACGCCTGAGTGGAGCTCGGGAACAGCAAGCCCGAGAAAACCAGGCAGGCTTTAGACCTGGCCGTGGATGTATCGACCAAATATTCACACTGCGCCAGGTCCTGGAACATAGGCATGCTTACAGACGCCCGACAATAGCTGTATTTCTCGACCTGAAGGCGGCATTTGACTCCGTTGATCGAGAAGTCTTATGGCAGTGTCTGTCACTGAAAGGCGTGCCTAGTAAGTACATCACCTTATTGAAAGCTCTCTACTCGAACACTTGTGGGCATGTTAGAGCCTATGGTGAGTTGTCCAGGGAGCTATACTCATCAAGTGGTGTCCGTCAAGGATGCCCACTATCCCCATTCTTATTTAATTTTATCATAGATATTCTTATGGAGGTTTCCCTCTCGTCACCTAATTACAAAGACGTTGACCGGATCACAGGTGAATTTTCCTTAGATCTAGAATATGCAGATGACATAGTCCTGTTAGGTGAAGACGCTGACAAGATGCAGAGTCTTCTGAACACTTTGAGTGGGAATTTGAGAATGTTTGGGATGCGATTTTCACCACCCAAATGCAAATTTTTGCTCCAGGACTGGTCTTCAGCGGTACCGCGGTTAACAATAGAGAGTGAAGTGGTTGAGTGTGTTGACCACTTCACTTACCTGGGAAGTAGGATCAACCCGGTGGGTTAGTTGCCGATGAGATTTCTGCACGGATACAAAAGGCTCGATTGGCTTTTGCCAATTTGCGCCACCTATGGCGCCGCCGTGATATTCGTTTGTCTATTAAGGGTCGCGTGTACTGCACAGCAGTCCGCTCTGTTCTACTGTATGGCTGTGAAACATGGCCATTGAAAGTGGAAGACATGAGAAGGTTACAGGTATTTGACCACCGTTGCCTTCGTAGTATAGGACGTATTCCGTGGTGTCACCATGTGAGTAATGCAGAAGTTAGGTGTAGAGTTTTAGGGAGAAGAGGTAAGTCAGTCGACGAGGTTGTGAACCTTCATCGACTGAGATGGTTGGGACACGTACTACGTATGCCTAGTCACCGATTGCCTCGTCACACAATGTTGGCTGAGGTGGGTTCAGGCTGGAAAAAGGCCCGAGGTGGCCAGACTAAAACATGGCACCAATGTATGAAGTCTCTGACTGTTGGTTTAAGCCATGTAGGACGATGCAGACTAGGTGGTTGGGGTCCACGGGACAAGAGGAACCAGTGGTTGGAGACCCTAGGTGATATGGCTCAGAACCGAAGTCAGTGGCGCAGATGTATACACACATTATCCTCATCTTAACAACGCTATACCGAATCTCACTATTTTGTCACTCCTCTTTCCTTTCTTCTCGTACTTTATATTTCTTTTGACTGCATTCACTTATCTTCATCCTTCACCTCACTACCTTTTTACTTGATGTGCTGATATGAGGTGTGGCAACTCGGACCGTTACGCAGTAATGCCTGGTCCTATGTTGATAATGATGATGATGATGATGATCTGTGCCAGTACCTCTGCCTGTAGTTGAAATGATGCTGCCAAGGTAGGTAGGTAGGTAGGCAGACAGACAGGTAGGCAAGTAGGTGAGAGAGACAACTTCGTTTAGATTTTTCCCGTTGGTGGTGACTGGTACTTGTTGTTGTTGGTGGTGGTGTTTGAGTATCTTCATCACCTGTGTTTTTTGTGCGCTCACCTGAAGAAAGTCCTGTCTTCGCTGTCCTGCCTCTTCTGTCAACTTGTTAGTTTTCACCTGTAGATCTTCGAGTGTGTGCGACATTTGACATTAAATTTTAATCATCATCGGTGAAATCCAAATGTTCTAAGCTGTTTTCGCCGTTCGTACCAGCGTATGCCCCTCTTCTAGCTCCTCAACGTTCGCTGCATGATCCAATCTAGCCCAGTCAACCACAATCAGGAGGATGATCGGTTATTGTAGGTGATGGCCTTATCTTACTCCTGTCTTCACTTCACTTCAAAGGCATCACTGAGCTGTACATTGTGAATTACTTGGCATGTGGCGTCTTTTTATAGTTGTTGAATGAGGTTGATAAAGGTTTGTGGCACTAAAACCGTAGCATTGACGCAGCTGCCTGCCAAATTACTTCTTGGTCGACGCTGTCGGAGGCCTATTCAGAATTGATGAAGTTGAGGTTGAGTTGACTGCCATTCTATGTTGATACTGCTGATTTTGGTAGGTCTCTAGGACTTCGCTTATCTTTCTGATTGTGGTACTGCGACTCGCTTATTTGGCCTCATTGCTTCTTTTATATAGAAATAAAAAGAACTAACGGAAGTACTGAGTTTTACCTAATGAAAGGTATTGCATTCTGGCTGTTTTCGTTTGCGAGATCAATCAAGTTGACTGATAGGATTAAATTACTTATGAATGGTCCAATTTCTCTAAATGTCAACTTGAGAGACAAGAACAGCTGTGTAAAACTGCAACGACTAGTTTAGAACACCTTCCATTAATACTAAATTTCATGGTTATACAAGTTCAAACTAGTGTAAACTCAATGGATTGTACATTGTGTAAAAATGAGCATAATATACATCGGGCTTTATATTAAATGTCAGGTAGTGGTAGACGGTCTATCATTTTGACAACTACCTGAATTATCAAGAGATTATGGGTATTTTCACTCCATTTGGACATTCATGAAACAATAATACTCATACGAATTTTAGTTGTCCCTGTTCTGGCTTTTCTTTTAATTTCATGCACTTAGCCTCCTTGATGAATTATGAAGTAGTCGCAAGTATATATAAAACCGAGGTAACTGTTGTTTGGCAGATTTGTATTAATACTGCGTGATAATTGAATGTGGAATTACAATGTAGGGTGCGGGACTATTTGAACCAGTGACCTCTGGGTAGTAGTTGAAATGATATATTATTCGTGAATATTCTTCAATTTCATGACGTGGCAGATTATAATCGTTATATTCGTAATTGAAAGGTATCTTGGAAAGAAAGCCAACATTTAGGTGATTATCGGTCTTCTCTATCATCATGACAAATGCGGTTGTAGTCATAAACACAATTGATTATCAACGTTTCGTAGAATATTTTAACAAAATTCATTTTTCAATGTTTAAGTGATGCGTTTGTGTAAAAATTAACTTTTCTAGGCAATAATGCTTACAATTTTTGTCTTAGAGGCCATTGATGCAAGGCTGTTCATACATCTGTAAAGCTATCAGTTGAAATGAACGTAGTTTCTTTTGTGAATGATACATATGAAGTACCACTGGATGTTGTACGCGACACTGACATCTTCAATAACTGTAAATGAAGCGGTAATATCATTTTATTAAGTTTGTTTATCCATTGATTTAGCCTAGATATCCTTAGGATTACAGTGGAGTCCATGACACACCTTTCGTCCTGTTTGGAACTCAGTTTAATGTACCTACAACCCAGTGAGTGATATTGTTCCCATTGAGGCTCGAACCCTGAACCCATCGCTTCAAGCGCCAAAGAGTTATCCATAAGAGCCACTTATTGTGTAAAGGTCGAGTAATCCGACCCAGTAAAGCGACGGGAAGTTGTAAGTATTAATAAATAATAACTGATACCCGTTGCACAAGAGATGACTCGTGTCCTGGTAACTTAGTGGATAACACTTTGGCTTTTGAAGTGGTGGATACTGGGTTCCAGTCTCAGTGGGCATAACAACATTAACTAGGATACAGCTACATCCAGCTGACGAGTCCTAAACAGGACGAAACGCACGTCCTGGATTCCACCACTGACCATTAAGTAGACTACAAAAAAACGAAAGTTCTCTGACTCATAAATGTAATGAATCTTGATTCATTTCTGTATGTGTATGATAAATATTTCTATCTCATGCGTGTCCCACCAGTAAGGTTGAATTCTGCAATGAAGTCATAATTTTATCCAAAATAAATTCTAAGGGAGTATACTCATGTTTGCTTGCTATTAAAAGCATGTTTATTTCCAATAAAATTAGAAAAAGACCTAGTTATTGAAGATCTTCAATCTTTTCTTCGAATTTTTTCATTTTCATGATCTAATAATGTATCAGCTACCACTTTTCGAATGAAATCGCTCTATCTACCGATATATTAATCTTATATGAATAGTATTTTGTTTGGGATACAAGAAATGGAGCTAATGTAAATTATACCCAATTGCAATTATATTGGGAAGCAAAAGCAATAGTTTTGTTGAATTTTTGGGGTGGGGGGGGGGGTGATTTAGAGATTTTTCAAGTTGGTATTCATCATCGACGGACATAAATTGGAGGAACATTGGAAACTTGGGAGCAGTGGACAGTTGTTTCGTCCCGGTATGAGACTCTTCAGCAGTGGCCCAATAGTAACGTGCTGGCCACGGAACCTGAAAGTCACAGGTTCGATTCCTGGTTGGGTCATAGGCGTGCGCCGCTGAAGATTTTCATACTGGGACGAAACAGCTGTCCAGTGCTCTCACGTTTCCAATGTTCCCCCAACTTATGCCGTCCACGATGAATAGCAACTTGAAAAATCACTAAGTCTCCACAAACCCTTAAGCTCAATCGAACTAGAGCTCACTAGTGGCTAACTTTGAGAGGCGATTTCTGAAGTTCCAATGAGAAATCGTGACCTATGGGGCAAACCTGGTGGCCGCGAAGACAGATACTCAACGACGACATTGGGTGATTGTCGCGCCATATCGTGAAGTGACAGAAGTTGGGAATATGGACCATTGTATTCCGACCCAGTGACTCGATGATAACATGCTGGCCACGGAACCTGAAGATCCTGGGTTCGGTCCTTGGCGGAGTCGTGGGTGTGCACTACTGAATAATTTTGTTGCTTGCTTTTTTAACTGATGCACTGTTGTACATTTTCATTTTGCGTCAATCTTATTTTGTGAATTTATTGTTATCGTTATTGCTATTATTACTTCGAAGCTTCTTCGTCACATATCGACATCAACTAGAGAACCATAAGAAACCGTGAGCATTGAGCAGCAATGAGCTGTGCTTCAGTGTTTTACGCAGTTGACTTTCAAACAGTGGGCCATGGGTCCATGGTGTGACAGCCAGATAGTATTATTAGTCGTCATATAGTAGGTATGACTTATTGCTCAATTCCAATCTAGTTACTTAACGGTAGTGTTCTCATTGTGAGACCTGCTCATTTCAAGTTCAATCCTCTATGAATCACTGATGAAGACTGGTGAATCGGCATAAAGCAACTATCGTCTTTAACTCTTTAGTTTTCAATGATTTTCTTTCTGATTTCGATTTTGAATGAAAACGTTTTTGGGATCAAATAGTTTTTCATAAGCGCTTTATTCTAAAATATTATTATTATTATTACAGGTGGTACATATATTGATGACTGTCTGTATAATGCAAAAGCTATACAAAAATTAATTAACGAATCAGTAATCAGTAAATCGAACTCAACATTAGCAAATGATATGATGACAGAATCGTCTACGTTTGACAACGATAATGAACGTCCAGGTTCTCTGTTAAATCGTAAGAAACTTGACTTTGAAGCTACTCTGGTGAGTAAATTATACAATTTAAATTATGATGAAACAATTTGGTTTGGTATTCTTCAGTGTTCATATAATGTATGTTGTTCTTTGATTTTTCTTAACGGCTAACAAATGAAATTCAAACTTACCCTTAAATATGTCTAAAAGAAAAAGGCAAAAAAGATTGATAATTCTCTAGTTGCTAGCCAAGATAAAATACATTTCAGATTGACATGAGTTAGAGAACCGTTGAAAACCTGAGAGCACTTTTCCTTTAACTGACGCCAGTCTACGATAAATATTACCTTGAAATTAATCAATTTCCACAAACGTCTAAATTGAATTACTGTGTTGTGCTCATTAGTAATATGGTTCGGTGTAGATTTCATGAAATCCTAATAAGAAGTCATGACCTGTGGAGTCAACCGAGTCGGATATGAAGACAAAGTACTCACCGATGACATCGGATAATGGTTGCGCTACATAGTGAACTAACAACAGAAGTAGAAAATTATGAGCCGTTGGATTCCAACCCTATGACTTGATGGTAACTTGCTTTCCGTGAGGCCTTTTCTCTATCTGTCCGTTCCTTAGGGAACCCATTTTTGTATTATTTCCTGAGCAGTCCTATACTCGGTAGAAACGACTGTACAGTGCTTTCAGGTTGTCAATGGTTCTCCAACTGATGTCAGTCTGTAATGAATGCCACTTTCAAATCTATCAATCCTAAAAAACCTCTTCATTGAATTCCTAAACTGTTTTTTTAAAAACAGCTGATAATCTTTTTCTATGAAACAAAAGGAAATGAATTCCAGGTCTTTTCACTACTGAAAGCCAACGAACTTTGGGAATTCATTCCTACTGATTGTTAAATTGCATTTTGCCATATAAGACATAAAAATTTTATGCGACTTTTTTGATCTACAAAACCACGTTGAGTGAATTTAATGGTTCAATGATAATGGACTTGAATAGTCATCTTTTTTCCCCTTGAATGACAGAATAGGTCAATGCAACAAGGATAAATCCCCTTCATGATGATTTTGTATAATATATATATATATATATATATATATATATATATATATATATATATATATATATATATATATCGATATGCTTGTGTTTCTCCGTTGTTTCATTGGATTGAATTGTTCGACCTCTGTTGGCATATGGGCTCCTATGCAGATGCCTCGATATCGCCTGAATGTCACTTATGGTAATTTAGTTGGTTGTGGCTAGCAGAGGAATCCAGGATGTGCACTTCATTTTATTTAGGACTCGTCAGCGGGACGTATCTGCACCGAAGTGAGTGACATTGTTCCCACCGAGACTTGAACCTGGTTCCCATCGCTTCAAATGCCAAGACGTTATTCACCATGCCACGGAGGGACGATAGTCGCTTCTTGTACAACGGGTATTAGATAATACTATTTGTTGATATACTTGTAATTCTCCATTGTTTCATTGGATCGGATTGTTTTACCTCTATTGGCATATGGGCTCCTATGCGGGGATACCTCGATATTGCCTGGGTTGCAGGTACATCCAGCTAACAAGTCCCAAATAGGAGGAAATGCACGTCCTAGTTTCCTCTGCCAGCTATAATCAACTAAACTAGGATATCTGTATAACAAAACTGATCTATTTTCAGTATTGTCAACCTTTTATATTTATATATTCGTAATGTTTTACGGTCCAATAAAACTGAGTGACAGTCCTGAAAGAATAACCAGATCATTGATTTCTTGAAGTGTAAATCCAACAGCGTCACTATATGACAATTTTTAATTGTTTTTTTTTATAAAAGACCGCAAAAATGACAAGATAAATCTCAGACAAACATTAACAACTGTATTATTTTACTTATTTCAGAAGGATTTGTTTTACTACTTATGAGTAATTTTATGCTGTCATTGCACACCTCATCGCAAGTGCATTTTATTGACTGCCCACTTATTCATAGTTGTGAAACTATTGCATATTAAGTAAAATTGACTATTCCGATTTCTGAGTACACACATTTTGATGATGATGGGTAGTAGCTAACAGTGGAATTTAAGTTGTATTAACCACACTTACCATCATCACTATCATTCAAAAATTACCGGCGGTATCCAGTATGTATAACTGAAAATGCACACAGATACATCTTTTCAATTGCCACACTTCACAGTAGTATCCCAAGACCAGGCGGAGGGAAAAAAGTGATATCAAAGAAGACAAAGTCGTGTAAGAGAACAAAACATTTGGAAATAAATACGTTAGTGTAAATATTCAAGCTTTTGATGTCAAGGAGTGAATACATTCGCGCCATTGTAACCAATGTTTTGCGATGTCGCCAAGCGTTAGTAAGCAACCAGTGATTCCTGTTATCTCGTGGACCCCATCCAGACAGTCTACACCTCCCCACACGACTCATACCAACATTCAGATGCCTTGTCGGTTGGTACCCACGTATTGGTGTGACCACATTGAACCCTTATCCAACCTAACCCAACATCCTCTAGTATGGCATGTCGAGGTAGACGATGGCTTGGCATGCACAGCATATATTCAAGTCATCTCAGTCGATGGAGGTTCAAAATTTCATTAATCGACTTGCCTATCTTGCCTAGTATCCTTCGCCTGACCTCAAGGTTGCTCACACAGTGGTTCTACTAAATACGAGCGATGCTACGAAGACATCTGTGATCAAAATCGTGTAATCGGTTCATATTTTCTAATTTTAACGGCGATGGCTCACAGCCATATGACAGGACAGAACGACCTACAGCTCAGTATACTTGCCATTTCATAGATAGTCGGATAAGTTGCCAGTCGGTGCCATAGGTGACGAAAGTTGGCAAATGCCAAACAGACTATCTTTATCCAAGCTGATATTTCGTCAACAACCAGTGGTTTCGCGCTGACGCTACTCCCATGTTAAGCGAATTGGTCGACACATTCCACAACTTCATTCCCCATCATTAAACTGGGAGTACTTGCGACAGACCAGTTATGGAACATCAATTTACATTTGAGAGATGCGAAACGCATACCAGCCAAACATACTCAGATTTTCTCTCAAGGCGTTCAAAAACGGCGCATTTTTTCAGCGTCTTTAACCAGCAGGATGATATAGTCTGCATATTTGAAGTCAGCAAGGTTACCTCCAGTGAGTAGGTCAATCGCTGTGAATTTCAAGATTCATTGCTGTGGCCAGGTGAGATTAAGGTGATAAGCACACTTGGGTTCTGATGACATGTCCCACAGACAGCATGAATAGATGGCTAGAGATTCCAGAGTTCTAGCGAGCGATGCTTGTTGTCCGATTTGTAATATAGTTTGGACGTTGCAAGCTCCTGCATAAAATCGATAACAAGGTCTTAGGAAAATAAAAATGAGGTTTCGACGACTTTGATCGTTGGCAATGATCTCATAGCGACAGGTTAGATGAAGCGTAATGGGCTTAATATTAGCATCAGATGTTATGTTCGATTGTTTCTTGTGTACTGCTGGGAGCGTGTGTGTGGTTGACACTTCTTGACTGCCTACACTGTGGGAGGCTATTTTTCCCTCGGGTACCTGAAAGAGAAAAGGAGTTTTTTAGTCATCCACGGGAAACACCTAACTGCCGTCACACCCCATCCAGCTCGCAGCAGTATGACTTTGCCCTCAAACCTCCATCATCGGTAGCTGCTTTTCGTCTTACCAGTATCCAACAAGCTTTTCCGGTATAGTAGGACTTCGAAGGAACAAGCGTTCAACCAGCAACGATCGTTGCGTCATTGGTATATGTAACCCGAACCACTACGTCAAGATAGTAGCTATATATATGTACATCTATAGTTTGATAGTTATTCTAACGGAAAGTTCTATCAATGTTATCTATTTTATAGTTATCAGCTCTCAAGCACGTTATAGAAGTCTTATCAATTTATTTACCGTTATAACATGTACTATTTTACCAGTTGTCTCAGTTCAAAACGTTTTAATATTTTACTTTAGCTAATTACCCGATTTTCGGTCTTATGTCTTTGATAACCTGTGATCGATTTAAAAAGACACCAGTTATGTGATAATAAGCACGATTTGCGAATTAATTACTGAAATGATTTTGTATTTATGGTTTTTGTTGTGAATGATCAGTTTGCGTTAATATGCATTGAATGAGCACTGTGTACGCTCCTTCATTGTTGCTGTTGTGTACCGTATTCAGTCATGTAAGTGAGGAACACTTGAATCCTAAGGTGAAAGAATGTTAAATATGTTAATCGGTATGGCCAGATATTTGTAGTTTTCCGGTGCATGTTTATTTACTTTGCGTGAAATACTAAAACACTTTGAGACCAGTTTTCTCAAGTATTTTATTCATGTATAATGCATTCACTCACTTGCATTCTGCTTGTCTCCTTACATCTTTACTCCAGTTTCTGTGCTTTTTAAAAACCGTTTTGCTAGCTCAGATAGGATCAACAAGGAACGCAAAAAATTTGCTCACAATATTTATTATTTACCCACAGACAACTAATTGTGTAAACCGAAAAGTTTTAATTGTCAGCATGTACACCAGTAAGGTTAGAAGTAACATTAGTTAGTTTGTGGGCTTTATGAAGCTTTTTGTTGTGGTTCATTTGCATCAACACTGTTTTGCCGAATAAATTTGTTTTCTGCTTCACTGGCCTTCTGCCGGTGTTTGAATCTCAGTAGGAATACCATGACTTACTGGGGTGCAAGCACATCTAGTTGACGAGTCCCAAACAGGACAAAGTATGCCTCCTAGATTTCACTCCTAGACATCAAGTAAATTATAACAATGAATATTCATGTAATATCGAGACATTCGCATAGGGACCTATGTGCCAATAAAAATCAATCGATTCGACTCAGTATAACAACGGAAAAGTACAAGTATCAACAAATAAGAAATCTGTTCTGCTTTTAACATATCCTAGTGTCTATGACTTAGTATTCTTCATCTTAGATTTATCAGTCAAATTAATGCTGTCAAGTATTTCACTGTATTGAAGAAATTGACGGTTACAAATTATTTTCAATACGAAAGCGGTATTACTCTGTAAAGCCAAGTTCTTAGGTCACTAGTCAAGTTAACAGTTTCTTCATAACCTTATAAAATTAAAGAATCGTATTTACCTTTTTTTTTAGTTTACAAGCCAATTGCTTTGTCTTTGATCTCATATTTTATTCCAGTCATTGTGTAAAGCAACGTTTTAGCGTTCTGTAGACGTCCTGTTATGGTTTTCTATAAAACCTAATTAACCAAAGCATCTGATTTGCATATTGAAGTAGTTCTTCTGCTGCTCATTATAAGCTGAATAAAAAATTTCATAAATGATTTCAGCATCAATTCAAAGTAGGAAGATGGTATACTTTCTTCCATCAAAAAAAATGCCTTTTGTCAATGTTTTTCTCTTAGTTAAAATTGGTTTACTTTCATTGAAATTTTAGTTCGCCAATTCAACTTTATGTGGTGATAATAGTTATCATTTACGTGGTGTTTGGCGTCAGATTGTTCGTGATGTCATCGACACCAAATCTCATTCTTCACCTCCATATCAATATCATGGTATCCAAGTTGCTACTTTCACAGGTAACATTATTTTGATGCATATATTTATGTTTATTGTCCTCTGAATGCAGGAGACAACATTTTTATTGTGATGTTATTCAAATAATAATATTTATTAGTTCAATAAAGAGAAGATTTTCCAATTATGCTCATCAATAAAATTCATTGGGATTAGTATAAACAAAGAAAGCGGACACTGTTAAATAATAAATGGTATTCTGATATTTAACAGTTTACAATAGTCTTCCTAGAACATCTTTCTTTGGGTAAATTGCATTTCTAAAGGTTGAAATAATTTCGATAGCATAGTTAGAAGATGAAGTTTATCTGAACGATGTGATGTATTTGCGCAATACATTTCAAACAATCGGATCACACATTTTCTTGTCAAATCGATTTATATTAAACCAAAGAATAGGAGGCTAAGGCTTCCTCAAATTTCAGTATACGTCTCTGACTGTTTCTTTTATATGTTTAGCTATAGATGAAGTGGGTCGTCTCCCACCAGAGTTTATCACGGTTTCATACTCCACTTACTTTTGAAGCCATTCAGGTACATGTTCTCCCACCCTCGATTACTCCTCCCTATGTATATATGACCACACACATGCAAATTTGTCAACACAATGGGATGCGATGTAAACCGTTGTAGAGGTTAGGTAGTAAGGAAGCCCACTCTAGACACGGTTCTTAAGAAAAGCGTCCACACCACTCTATCCTAGAGAAGGGAGTTGACTGGTATCATTTTGAGTGGTAGGCTAACATTAGCCATTAAGAAAACGTATTACATATAGCTAATCTTATCATTGTGGAAAAAAACACATGCTTCGTCAAAAACCTAAACACTGCATCAAAGATCACGTTGCATCCCATTGTGTTTGCCAATTTGCATGTGTGTTTGTCATATATACATAGGGAGGAGTAATCGAGCCATGCAGTTGAGGGTGAGAGAACATGTACCTGAATGGCTTCAAAAGTAAATGGAGTATGAAACCGTGATAAACTCTGGTGGGAGACGACCCACTTCATCTATAGCTAAACGTATAATAGAAAAAGGTCACAAAATTAATGCTCAAACAGCTTTCAAAGTTTTATATGGAAACAGTAAGGACGTATACTGAGATTTGAGGAAGCTATACACAAATTGCAAACCACCTTTATGTGTACAAAAACAGTTTATTCTTACACTACACTTACCTTGCTAAAATTTGTTTTATTATCAAGATTAGGACCAACTATGTCAATTCCTGTTCGTTTTGATCTTTCTCAATGTTAATCCCCTATTATTTTAATTGTCAAATTTTCCCTCCCATTCTTTGCTTTAATATATATCTGTTTGACAAGAAAATGTGTGAACCGATTATTTGAAATGTATTACAGGACGAGGACGTCAAAGCCATCCAGGATCGGAAACACAGCAAGACAGGTGTTCATTAACCTGAAACCCGTGTGGAGATCTTCTGCACTGCACTGCACTCAGCATAAAGCGTGAACAACATCCGGATTTTCAACACCAACGTCAAGTGAGTGCTTCTGTATGGTTGATAGACTTGTCGCGTTACGAAAGGGATTGTCAACAAATTACAGATATTCATCAACAATTGCGTACGCTGGTTGGTTACTGAGATGAGATGAGATGAGATGATATGGCGAGAATGATAAGAATCAGCAAGAAGGAACTCTGACTGGCAAGGAACCAAGGAAGAATCTATGGCTCAACAAATATGCACTGGAAGGAAGTGTGGATGGATTGGGCATACAGTGGAAGGGCTGATTTGGGACATGAGGTGTCAGGCGAGTTACTGGAGTGGAGCCGAGATGGGAAGTGACGAGTTGGGCGTGCGAGGTGAGGGTGATATGTAGGAGATGGTGTGAGGAAGAGATGAGAGGTTGTGGGCTGTTATGGCGACAGGTTGAAAAGATTGCGGAGAGGTGAGTGCAGTGGATGCGTGCTAGTGAAGCCCTATGTTCCATTAGGAACCCAAGGGACAAATAATAATAATAATACTGGTCATCTTAGTGACTGCCAGCAGTTAGTGCATGTTAGTATTGCGCCATAAATGGTGAAGTCGCTGAACATAAATGAAGTAACCAGTTATTTTTTGTGATCTGTCTATGCGTTTCTACAATACATTGGATGACCTGAGAAACCCGTGATTACCTACCCCTACTCTGAGTAAAACTACCTGGTTTAAGGACTCAACTTTTTGACAAGCACCAGATGTCTTATCTGAATGTTTTTTTTTGTATAACTAAACACACCATATTTTGTCAACGCGTTACGACTAAACGATTTTCAAACACAATTTGCTCAGTGAAGCAAATTTCTAATGGATATATGTTTCTATGATAATTTGGCATCATATGGTGTCTATACCGGTCTAGATTGCACCTGCCATCCGGAGGGCATGGGCCACATTTCAGAAGTATGTTTATCTTAAGTGACGAAATAATACCCATTTACTCATGAATAATAATTTTATCATCGAGTAAATGCTACTTTTCAACGATATTCTTACCAAGCTATTGAGTCTTGTTTATGATTGGCAAAATGATTCAGATAGTTACACTAAAAATTTACTCACATTTGGTATATATGTATAATCGAATTGATGATGGTCATTGAGAAAGGAAGAATTGATTGTAATAGATGAAGTAATTCACTTTACATAAAGTTCTATGATCAAAGCTGTATACATGAATAATCACATATAAGTACAGAATTATAGAGTAATCTTGTTAGTGTGTAGTCAATCCTTATTAGTAACTGATGTGATTTTATTCCTTTTTTTGAACTGTTTGTTCAAAAAAAGGAATTGTTTTCAAAGTTGTGTGGTGTTGGATATGCAAATAATAAGCGTAAAACACCTTCTGTATATATATATATATATATATATATATATATATATATATATATATATATATATATATATATATATATATATATATATATATGCGTGTACTAGTGAGTATTTGTTATAATCGATTGCATAAATTTTGTTGACAAGGCAAAGCAGCAGTTAAATCATTCTTGTTAACTAGTATAATTGCTTCCATTATACTGTCGTTGATTGGATCGAATTGATTGGTTTCTATTGGACTATAGTCGGCTCCTGTATGGATGCCTCAGGATGCATCTTTATTCTTGTTAGCTGTATTGTATAGGGTCATATATTTTGACTGATATATCTTATACTTATCAATAAATTATTCATAAATCTTAAGTCTTTTTCTTTGATAATATTTTATTTTTTAGGTCATGCTAGTAAAATTAATCGTATCACATGTTTAGATACTGAAAATTGTTTTATGACAGCAAGTCGTGATAAGACTGTACAACTATGGTCTATAGCTTCTACCTATAATCCTGGTCATTATTCATTATCAGTTAATCAAAAGTGTAAAATACGATTAGTTCAGGCAAGATTATATCATCTATTGATTCACATAATCAGCAATTAGTTGCTCGTTTAGTATACAGAGCACATAAAAAGTCTGTACTAGCTGCATATTATCTGGAACCTTATAGACTGGTAGCTTCTGTTGATGGTAGTTTACTTTTTTGGGATCCATGCACAGGACAAACGGTAAATCCTTTCTTACTTCACTATTTTTAATTGTAATATGAAAATTTTTCAATTTTAGTTAATAAATATGCATTTGCGTAAACCTTTAAACTTGATACTAACATTCTGAATAGCTTCAAAGATATTAAGTACTCGTAAACCTTTATGTATACGATTTTTTATATGGATCTGGGTTTCAGAGGTGACTTCATCAAGAAAGTGTATATGATAACAAACTTTTTCAACGCGTAAAGGTGGATTAAACTTCATTATATCTAAATCCTCAACAAATATAAGAATCCATGACCATCACATTTTGTATGTGTATGTGTAACGGATAACCTCGCCTGGTTAACTAGTTCACTAGTTACTAGCCGGTCCTAAGCCCGGGTAAAGAGGGAAGGTTGGGCATACGGCTAGCAACCCTACCCCGTAAAACAAATCTAACCGCTAAAGAAACTTCAAAGCACAAACAAAATATAAAAAATGAAAACAAACTTATTCCCCGCTGGAATCGGAGAGGCGAAATGACGCCAGTTGGTGAAAGCCTTCGGGAAGCCAATTGGCCGATGTGTCTTCTCTCGATGAAAGCGAAAGTAAACGTGGGGACATGGAGTGTCCGCACGATGTTTGAACCCAGCAAGGCAGCCCAGATTGCAAAGGAGATGAGAAGGTATCACATCGAAGTGCTTGGGATTTGCGAAAGCAGATGGAATGGGAGTGGAATCTCCAAACTGTCAACTGGAGAATCAATAATCTACTCCGGTCACCCAGACGACAACCATGAGCACACTGAGTTATGGAGTGGCTATCATGATGTCCTCAAGAGCATCGAAGGCTCTCATGCAGTGGGAACCAATCTCCTCCAGGATCATGACAGCAAGATGGTTTCAACTCAAAAGGAAGAAAGGTCACAATCATACAATGCTACGCCATGCACCTACAAATAATGCAGAGCAAGAGAAAAAGGAGGATTTCTACAGACAACTTCAATCAACACTGGACAAGACGTCAGTTGGCGATATCAAAATTCTGATGGGCGACATGAATGCCAAACTGGGAGCGGACAACACAGGAAGAGAACTAACCATGGGTCGAGAGGCGCTAAGTGAAATGAATGAGAATGGAGAATTGTTTGCAGAATTCTGTGCATTCAACGATTTGGTAATTGGAGGCAGTGTGTTCAGGCACAAAGATATCCACAAAGCGACATGGATTTCACCAGACACCAGGACACACTAAAAATCAAATCGACTTTATCTCAATCTCGAGAAAATAGAGGCGCAGTCTACTTGACACAAGGTCAAGAAGGGGAGCAGATGTAGGTTCAGACCAGTATCTAGTGCAAGGAACCATCCAAATCAAGTTGAAAGCCTTCAAGGAAGTTGGTGATATACCTCAATTCAAGTACAACACTCGGAAACTGAAGGATGAAACTACAAAGGAGATCTTCAAGGCAGCCATCAAGACAAAATGGGAGATATCGAGGAACATCCCTGAAGAAACCTGTGTGGAAGAGCACTGGAAGTCTTTGAAAGCTGTGTGGAAAGAAACTTGCACAACAGTATTAGGAAGGAAGAAGAAAGAAGACAAGGAATGGATCTCGACGGATACCTGGAAGCTGATAGAGGAGAGGAGGATGGTGAAGCAGAAGATAAACCAGTGTAAGGATGCTCAACGACAAGAGGAACTGAGCACAATGTATAAAACACTGGACAAAGAAGTGAAGAAGAGTGCATGCAAAGACAAAAGACACTTCTACGAAACACTGGCAAGTGAAGCAGAACAGGCTGCAGGTAAGAGAGACCTGACGACATTGTATCAAATAACCAGGTTGCTATCAGGGAAGAGACCAACACAGATGAAACCAATAAAAGATGAAGAAGGAAATTTAATTACGAAAGAAGAGAAACAAGGAAACAATGGGCTGACCACTTCAAAAAGCTCTTGAATCGACCACCACCTGCACTTCGTCCACAAATACCACCTACAGCCGCTGAACTACAAGTGAACATAAATCCTCCAACAAAAATGGAAGTTCTGAACGCCATAAAGCTACTGAAATGCGGGAAAGCAGCAGGACCAGATGGGATCCCGCCAGAAGCACTGAGAGCAGACGCAGAGACAACAGCGGACATGCTCACACCACACCACTATTGCAGAAGGTGTGGAAGGAAGAGAAGGTACCTGCCCATTGATCGGAAGAAGGGTTACCTTGTCAAACTGCCGAAGAAGGGAGACCTGAGTGCTTGCAAGAACTGGCGCGGAATCACTCTCCTGTCCACCCCAAGTAAAATATTAAGCCGCATCATCTTGGAGAGGCTTAAAGATGCACTGGATTCAAAACTGCGACCGGAACAGGCAGGCTTCAGGAAGTACAAATCATGTGCTGACCAAATTGCAACGCTTCGTATCATCATAGAACAGAGCATAGAATGGCAATCAGCTCTCTACCTCAACTTCATCGACTTTGAGAAGGCCTTTGACAGCGTCGACCGACAAGTAATTTGGAAACTGCTTCAATACTACGGAGTACCGCAAACCTTTATCCGCCTCATTCAACAACTATATGAAGATGCCACATGCCAAGTAATCCACAATGGGAAGCTCAGTGATGCCTTTGAAGTGAAGACAGGAGTGAAACAAGGTTGCCTACTATCCCCCATGATATTCCTTATTGTGGTGGACTGGATCATGCAGCAAACAGTGGGGAGCGAGAAGAGGGGGATACACTGGACGACGGAAAAGAACCTAGAAGACTTGGATTTCGCCGATGACTTGTGCCTAATGTCGCATAAACTTGAAGATCTGCAGGCAAAAACTAACAAGTTGACAGAAGAGGCAGCCAAGACAGGACTTCAGGTGAATATAGAGAAGACAGAAGTGATGAAGATACCGCACCACCACCATCAACAACAACAACAACAAACTCCAATCACCGTCAACAGGAGAAACTTAAAGGAAGTAACCTCCTTCACTTATCTAGGAAGCATTGTTTCAACTACAGGTGGGACGGACGAGGACGTCAAAGTCAGAATCGGAAAAGCAAGACAGGCGTTCATTAGCCTGAAACCAGTGTGGAGATCTTCTGCACTCAGCATGCGGAACAAGATACGGATTTTCAACACCAACGTCAAGTCAGTGCTCTTGTATGGTTCAGAGAGTTGGCGCGTTACGAAAGGGATTTCCAATAAACTACAGACATTCATCAACAACTGCCGCCTACGCTGGCTCGATACTGAAGATCAGATGGCCAGAAAGAATAAGCAACAAGGAACTCTGGGAACGAACCAACCAAGAACCTATCAGTCAACAAATATGCAGGAAGAAGTGGAGATGGATTGGGCATACACTGAGAAGGCCGACTGAGGACATCACGCGTCAGGCCAGTTACTCGAGTGGAATCCCCATGGGAAGCGACGAGTTGGACGTCCGAGGGTGACATGGAGGAGGTCGTGCGAGGAGGAAATGAGAGCTTGTGGGCTGTCGTGGAACCAGGTTCAAAAGATCTCAGAGAACAGAGGTCAGTGGAGGCGTGCTACTGAAGCCCTATGTTCCACTAGGAACCCAAGGGACTAATAATAATAATAATAATAATAATAATAATAATAATAATAATAATAATAATAATGTGTAACGGATGTAGAGACATCAGTTCTATGAACTGTCTCAATGATATGTTCCACAACTGAGGAGCTTGGATATCTACTGAAGTTCGTGGGTTAAGGCGATTCAGATGGCTTCGTCAGACACTTTCGAATATGCTGTTAGACCTTGCACGGATATATGAGTACTTTTTGTTGTATATGTATTTGAAGCAACTGGTCCTTTTGATAAATTCCAACAACATAATAAGAAGAGGAAGATTAACTGAAACATGGAGCTATACATTTCGAACAATCTGATCACACATCAACTTGTCGAATTATTTATATGAAAATTTACGAAAAGGGTCAGTGAAGTCAATAGGAAACATAGGAATGGGAAGGGTAGAGAAAAAAAACGAAATCTTAATCACGTTACTCTTAGTATAGAAATTAAAATCAATACTACCAAGTTAGGTTCAACGTGATTACAAATTGTTTTTGCCTACATAAAAGGGGGTTTTAAATTTACGACTGGCTGCAGCTTAAGAGAACCTATGTTTCCAGTAAATTCTCAGATTCCGCAGTTACGTCGATGAATATTGCTATTATAAAGTACCCTATGTAGTAAAGCATACAGAAAATAATAATTTAGACAATAACTGATACCCGTTGCACAAGATATGGCCCTAGTGCCCCAGCAGCTTAGTGGATAACGCTTTGTTATTTGAAGCGATGGATACCGGGTTGAAGTCTCAACTGTAACACTATCATTCACTGGGGGTGTAGGGTGAAAGTGTATCCACGTGACAGATAGCTAGTAGAATGAAACGTGCATCGTGAATCCCACTGCTAGACACCAAAATGGAAGGTGTAATTCAGTTGAATTTGGAATGAAACATGGACGAGATTACTGTCAACGAATATTTTAATACACGCATGGTAGACAGTCACTTGTCATACAAGACTAAGTGATTAGAGGTACATATATGAAAAGTTGACGATAGGAATATAAGAAGATTTTAGTGAAAGAGTTATTACCAATGGAATGAAAGTTATGTCATTGCAGTATCAAAATGAGGTCAGCTTTTATGTACAGATATGAAAAGGCAAACAGTGACGATAATCAAAGTGATGTAATGATAATGATTGGGTCAGCTTATTGTTGATATGGTAGAAGGAGAAAAGATAAAGAAGAATAAAAGGTAGGTGATAAAAAATGGGCTGATATGATGACCATATGTGAGTAAGCCCTGTACTGGGCTTGCATAGACAGAGACTAAATGCATTTATATGACTACCTAGATCCAACTTTCCCTTATCAATTCTCATAGCTTGTGCAATGCACACAAAGAGTAAACATATGTCTTTAGTCAAATTATTCGTTACTCACTATACTACTTGGAAGTCATTATCTTTATTGATGATTTGAGGTTTGCTGTCCACCATTTGAAACAAAATGACGCTGTTAATCGATTCTGTAACCCCTTTTTTAAGCCAATGTGGTAGACGCAGACATAAGGTTAAAGTCCTATGAGCGCGACCTGGACAACTAGCCCCATAGGAGCAATTAAACTGATATACACATATTCAAGTGATCATTCATAACATGTTCTTTATGTATTGTGCATTTCCTTGCCTGTGTAAAATATGCATGTACAGTTTGGTTGCATCAAACTTCTTTTCAATGAATTCGCTCAAATGATGCACCAGTATACCATCGCCTACACCTTTTCTGAGCTATATATGGTCTTAGAAATGAGGCTTTCTTGATTATAGTATCTGTCTTTATTTTGTTAGAAGGTATGGAAATGTATTTATTTTTGCGAAAGTAATTGGATAACTATTTTACAATAACGTCTTCTCCAGTTTTCCACTTCTCTACCCACACATTCTTCAGCATAAATGAGTTTAATTCGATTACCAGGACTTGGTATCAACTTAATCTTGTACTGCTTAGGTGTGAAACTATAAAAGTGAATGTTCTACCTGTTCCATACGGTCTTACTGAATAACTCCGTCATTACAGAACCATCTATTCCTTTAGCAGGGAGGATATGATATGCCACTCACCTGTTCATCTTCACAAGTTAATTTAATAGGGGGATGGATATAATTGAAGACTCTTGGAAGTTCTCATTTATTAACATCGTCCTTACACACGGTAAATGTATTGCATGCTCAACACTGGCTGAAGTCTACTGTTCAACTAGCCACTAAGCTGGATGGTGTGACCGTGCAGTACACTATATTTTGGTGTTAATTGTTAGGAATTGATTATTGGAAGCTCTGAACTTAGATTTGAAGTTTGTTGTTATTGTTGGTGAGCTACGCGAATTCGAGTCTTTGAGGGGATAAGAGTTTCTTTAGGATTTCAAATGTATTCTGCTGATGTAGGCCAGAAAGGCCGAAACAATGACCCAGGTTTTTTTTTTGCTAATTGACTCCTAATATCTAACACTCAGGTAATTCAGTTGATTGTTTCTAGTGACTGTTTATCTCAAAGTAGGTTTTGATCATGGATTTAAATCAGCTAAAGAATCGTCGGAAAAACAGAAACCTTGTACAACTGTTTCGTCCTATTTTGCAGCTCCTCAGCTGTACACACTTATAGCTCTGCGAGTGGCCAAGTTCAGGATCGTAGGTTTTTGCAACTAATTCGTTGTCATTCAGATACTGAGTTGGAATTCAGTCCAATTTTCCACTTTAACGACTTTTTTTCCACTTCGCCACGACTAATCAATTTTATTGGTGAACAATCTTCATCAATCCCAACTTAGCTGATCCGGCACGTTATGGTTTTATATAAAAACCACAGAAGACTGATGGTAAAGCAAGTTACTAATGAGCAGTGGGCAGCAATTTAATTGATTTGTAGGAATTACTTGATTTCACATAATATGAGGAGATTCGCAACTAAAAACTTGGATTTATTCCTGTGAGTGATATGATCCACAGTACTTCATGGTCATACCTGTTTCTGCATTTGTACAAACTTCGTTATTGTATATTTTTGTGTCTGTCTTCTAGGAAATCAATTGTCAAGTTTTTGTTCCTGCAATCATAATGGCTTTCTATATTAGCAGATATAAAATGATAAGAATTGTTGTGTAACACAAATGTTGATGAAGGAAATTATTCAGTCAGTCTATCCTTTTTTGAATGTCTCTTACATTAAGGTGTAAAGTGTAAATAGAAGTGAATTAGAGCTGTCGTTATTTTTTATTAGATTTCCACCCAACAACTTCAGGATGTACATTGGCAGTCTTTCCTGTATTTGTGTATTCTCTAAAGATGACCTTAACTTCGCCTTCTTTTTTGTCTTATACAATTTCTATATTGTAGGTGAGGTCACATAGTCAGTATGAAAATTCTGGTTGGCAGAATTTAACTGCAATGGAATGTAGTACTGTTCCTTATGGAGCTGTAATCTGTTCAGATCATTTAGGCTTTATACATTTAATAGATCCACGAGTAAGATGTCTTGGACAAACAAGTAGTTTACACTTTAATAGCGGTGCGTCATTAGCTTCTTCCCTGTTGAACAAAGAACGTTCAAAAGTTGAAATTCCTACAAGTGATTCAAGCAAATTGTTGACAAATTCACAAAACTTTGATTTTAAGTTGAGTAAGTTATCTTGATTATCATTTTACTAACTTCACATCACCTTTCATGGTAGTTATAGTACTATCCTTTCCATTGTGTTTGTAGTCCTCATGTTTAATTTCTAGCTGATCTAATTAAAGAATCATCTAGACTATTATGATAGCACTACAGTCAACTTAACAGGTGATGCATTTTTTGGAAGTATTAACGATAATACAGTATGAACCTATATATATATATATATATATATATATATATATATATATATATATATATATATATATATATATATATATATATATATATAGGTGATTATATCCTGGATATATATTTATATATACTTTTAACGGCCTTGACGGTTCTTACATTAGAGAAAAACATGTAACCAATCTGAATCTCATGTACGACCACGTGATGCTTTCCGCGAATCTTCAGCATATCACGATTGGTCATGTAAGCTTTCAGAGAATTCGGGATTTCTCTGAGTTATCTAGGAGGTGTTGTTTCACTGCATAACAATAGATCTGCCCAAATCATCAGAATAGAAGCAATTGAGAAAGTTGAAGGTACAAAACACTACTGAGAATAAATATGGATACTCAAATATGAAAATTAGTTTTCGAATGAAAAGAACCAGTTAAAGTGGATGTTGCTGATGATTTACTTTTAGTTATTTCTTTGAATTGACTGTTTAGTACAATACATTGTACAACTGTTGTAAATATAATTTCTACAAATGGAATGACTAACTGATAATCTCAGGTTAACTCAATACTGAATTCAGTGATTGAACTGGATTCTTAAACTCACTATTTTATGCTGTTTATTCACTTTCATCGAACGGTGACTATTCTTAAAGCCCAATTAAACAGCTATCCAACTGATTGCATATATGCAGGCAATAATAATTCAACTCCAAGATTACGTAATTATTTAGCCTAAAGATAAGAAACTTCAAATCAAGGGTAGTAGGGAGATGTATGTATGTATAGCCAATAAATCCTCATCAGTGAGTAGAGCACTACAGCTTTTGCCATCTTTAATAACAGTGATTTAAATCCTAGAGTCGATACCTTAATTAGTGGATGCTGTTTTATTTCCAAACCTTATTGTTCTTTTAACAGACATCGCAGTTTAGTGTTGTCAGTACTCTGATATGCTTATTTAATCTTTTTGAGCATCGTATTCAGTGTATATGTTAAGGCTCCAAAGATGGTTTGCATCTGTTCCTTAGAACTATACTGGTGAAATCAGTTGTTTCTTACAATATGCTACTACTTACCTATAGCCTACATGAGATATTATAATCCTAGAGGACACTTTCTTCACATTGATTCAAAATCTGATCGACAGGACTGATTTATTTCTAGTTTTTTTGACTAACCAATTGTATAGAAGTAAAACTTATGCTAAGCCCAATAAGAAATCACTCAAAATCTTGACACTAACTCTCATGACTTGAAGCACAGATTAGATGACAGTAAAAAAAATGTTTAGTTTTGACGTCACTAGACTTTACATGAATATACCGATCGAAATTGTTCTAGAGGCAGTCAGAAATGAACTTAAGGATGACAGCGAACTTATTCATCGAACTAGGGTGCTGATCTAGGAAATCGTGCTAGGATTATGATTTGTGCCTGACGTATACAGCTTTTAAGTTTCGAAATAAAATATATAAATAAACTGAAGGGGTTGCCATGGGATCATCAATATCCCCCTATCGTCGCAGACATATTTATGGATAGTTAGGAACGGATGGCCCTTCATATATTTAGTCCTACTCTGAAGATATGGTTCCGATATGTTGATGACACGTTTACAGTACTAAAATCGGACCACATCAATATGTTCTTGGCACATATAAATTCAGTAGGGAATGAAATCCAGTTAGTCTGTGACTTCGAAAGTGATGAAGATGAGCTAGCAACGTTGGATTGCAAGATTAGACGAAAGCAAGATGGGGGTTTATAGACTAGTGTCTGCCGAAAACCTTCCCACTTGAGTCGTTACTTAGACTTCAAATCATCTCACCCCGTGCCAGTTGAAGTAGACTTAGTGAAAAGCTTAAGTAATAGGGTAGGAAATCTTACTAGCAGGACGGAAAGTCTACAACAAGAAATCAGAAGAATTAAGAATAGTTGGTATTCATCATTGACTGACATCAGTTCGAGGGACATTGGAAACCTGGGAGCATCGGACAGCTGTTTCGCTCTGGTATGGAACTCCTCAGCGGTGCGCACCCATGACCCTGCCAGGGTCCCAGGTTTCCAATGTTCCTCCAACTGATGTCAGTCCATGATGAATGCCAACTTGAAAAGTTATTAAGCCCATACAAACCTCAAAATTAAACATCAAGAATACCTTGCATCTCGACAATTATCCACCTAAATTTATCATTAAATCGAATGAAAAAAACCACCATTAATGGTCGTAATACAGGTATTATTAATAGTAATTCTGCTAGTGGTAGTGATAACGGTGGATGGTTTGAAAGACAATTCAAAGCCTCCACTGTGTTACTATACAAGGAAGACACTTCAGAAGCATTACAAAGAGTTCTTGCTGACTGAGATTGAAGTGATATTCAAACCAACAAACTCATTTAGAGACAAGCTTTGTAAGTTAAAAGATCCTATCGATCCAATAAAGCAGAATAATTCAGTGTACTAATCTTATTGCAATGATTACGAGGTCAAATATATAGGTCACAGTAGTCAACGAGGGTCGATTAAAATAACAGAGCACAAAATCAAGATTAGTGGATCCTAATAAGTTAAGGAAATTTAGAGAAAAGCTCGTCTATACCTATGCACGCAATTACACTCAATCATACAATAGAGTGAGATAGAGTGACATTGTTAAAAACTGACTTATTTGGATGGAGGAAGACATTGATAACCGAATCTTTGTTTATCGAATATATGTAATCGAAATGATTCTACACCTGTCCCAGATAGATGGAAAATTCTACTGCTCTTGTCATTAATCACAAAACGGAAGAGAGGCTTAGAACAATATAAATCATGTCTCAAAGTTGTGAAGTTACCTACATGATATGAATACAGACAATAAATTGGATCTTAATGATGAATAGGTTTTGTTCAGTAACACCTTGTAATTGAAGTTAGTATGATTCATCTTGTTTAGAAAAATTAAGTCTATCATTTGTAAGCTGCATTACAACATTCTCATTTATTTTGAGTATTATTTGATATGCAAACTCATTTTGACTGGTGTACCTGTGATCAGTGTGATCGGTGTACTTGTGATAACTAACTGTTTCATCGTTGATTTACATTTATCTAAGACGAGCAGTTCATTAGTATTATTGCTTGTATTATACCGTCGTTGATTGGATCAAGCTGATCAGTCTCAATCGGCATATGGGCTCCTCTGTGGGTGCCTCAATATTACCTGTGTTTTATTTCAAGTAATGATGGTGCAATCAACGACGGTATACTATACTATACTCGTTGCACAAGAAGTGGCTATTGTAGCTCTATGGTCCAGTGGATAACACTGACGTTTGAAGCGATCGGTCCCGATTTCGAATCCCGTTGAGAACAATGTCACTCACTAGGGAGCAGGTACATCCAGCTGACAAGTCGCAAATAGGATGATAAGCACATCCTGGATTTCACAGCTACTATCCATCATTACGAGCAGTTTAATGTTGTGTCTATATATTATATCAAGTTAACGGAGACTTTTTTTTATCCCCTTAATGTTTTTTATTACTTATCTTTCACTGTTCTAGCTCCCTATGGTCGGTCTACATTGGATTTATGTATTACTAAGATTATGATGAGCTTAATTGAACAACTTCAACCCAATGTTAACCAGTTAAATAATCCTTCAAATAATTTATTAACAAATACAAATTCTTCAACATCTTTACTGAATATGAATGCGAATATGGCTGGTTTATTAAATCGTTTATCTGTTTCTCAAAATGGTTATTATCTATTGTGTGGTTTTACAACTGGAATAATTACTGCTTTAGATCTACGTATGGGTCAGGTTATTCATATATGGAGAGGTTACCAGGATGCAGTAGTTGATGTAAGCATTTCATATATACTTCATGATTTCAATCTTCTCTTTTTGTATATAAATAGTAATTACTAGGATGTCATTTTAATTATCTAGCGGAAATATTAAGTGAACAATAACAAGATGAACAATAATGGAATTGAATCAGTTTGGCAGGTTATGAACTTGTTTTATATCAAATCGTTACAACATAATCTTTGCCTGCTATCACAGGATTGGTTAACTCACAGTTCGCCTAAGGGATTTCGTAAACTTATTTCATAACCACTGGTAGGTATCTACTAGACTATTCAGAAATGATGAATGTCGTATGAACCTACCTTGGTTACCGGCAACCGTGGGGATGCAGCACCATATACTGCCTTGGGGATCAGTGCCTGGTTCCCTAAGACGGCCATTTGCTTCGGGTTGAATGTTCAAGCTATATCACATCCCATATCCAATTTATGAATAAATATTCGCGATGGAGGCTATAATGTGGTCATTAAATCATTATAACGAACGTTCTATCTAATCATTGTTTATTGTTACCTCGTTATTTTCACATGAGTACTGTGCTGCCTATTCATTATCATTTTCAAATTTATCTGTATCTTCATCCTTGTCCCACCCATTTGTTGATCACTGATTGAAATTTTGTTCTGTCTATATCATTTTGAGTCGCTAAGCAGTTATTAAAAAAAACTTTTTCAACCCGATATTTAACTCAACTCAGAAACCATACACACCATTTATGTTAGCTGCCTTTAACTTTGGTACGTTGATGCAAATTAGACAATAGGTAAGTTTGCTTAGAACTCTATTAAACTCTCCTCCTGATGGATACTTCATCTCAGAGAACCCCGTATAAAGTCTCAGTGAAACGCTTCGAATAACTTTGTGATGTGTCACCTCAAAATTTTATCTACAGTACACTTATCCAGAAACCCTGTGGCATCCGCAGTCGAGGTTGATGGCTTTGTTATTGCACTAAGAGCCAGAGCCAACGCTACACTAGTTAAACTGGATCGCCATCGACAGTTGTGTGATCTTTTAGGCTAGGAGTTTCGTTGCTTCCGGCACCATCGTGATACTAACCTATCTGTAAAATGTCGGGTAGGCGTGTTGACACTAGCTGTACTCTATGCCTTTAAAATATGGCTTTTACGAACTGGGGATTTTTGACGACGCTGTATGTTTGATCATTGCTGTTCCCATAAAATTGTAAAGATTGAACGGAAACAACATATAAGAAGTTGTGAGGTGATGGAGGTCACCATTTATCAACTGGAGTTATCTTCAAACACTGATTTCGGTGGCTTATGTTCGTGTTACGAACGTTTTCCTGAAGGCTGGGAAATTGTATATAGTATTTGCTTACCTTAGGGTTGATGAGAGAAGCAGAAAGATGGCTAGTTTATAATATGGCACCGTGAGATGAAAGATACTTGTGTTGGGTCAGCAAATGTTGGTACCTCAGAACTCCCTGGATAAAGTCTGAGAAATTGCACAATTAACTGGTTTCAGACGATAACAGATGTTGCTTGGAATCAAAGCCAAGGAAAATCTTGCCACAGTCTTCTTATTGATTATCGAAAAGTAAGACGAAAGTAGTGAGTGCTTTTTCCAATTTATCCTTGAGACTGCTGTTTCGATAATCAATTCCCATTTCAGCCTTCGTTCCTTTTTTTCTTCCTCACTTTTTTATCTTATTTGTGTTGTTATATTGTTTTGCATGGTGCATTTCTCGACACCCATGTTGTACCAAGTTTTTATCTTATACAAATAAATAATTATGTCACTTAGATGTAGTATCTAAGAGACCCTAAGGTATCCAGATACGTAAGGTAAATGTTCGGTTAATTTTTTTTTACGGATTTTATTCGTAAGCTTTATTGCCCATATTTGTTCCATTGTATGGAAATTAGTATGACTATGAAAGTCAGGAGGTAATGGTTGCACCAGTTGCCTTCTGAATTATTCCACAATTTAGATGTTTCATTTCTCCGTAATCAGTCCTCTGTTTTCACATGCATCTCCTTTTCTATGATAGTTTATATTTCGTTTTGTGATCACTTGTTCTAAGTATTCAGTCTGTTACGTCCGAATAAAATTCTCTGTTTATTCAATTAGCTTTTCATCAATATTATTTTTGTCCCTTAAGTTCCTAGTGGAACATAGGTCTTCAGTAGCACGTCACCATTTCACTCTGTCCTCTGGAGTCTTGTTTTTCAACCTGGCTCCACAAATGCCCATAAGCTTTCATTTCATCTTCACACGATCTCCTCCATATCACCTTTGGACGTTCAACTCGTCATTTCCCCTTTGAGTCCCGTTCGATGACCTGGCCTGACGCGTGATGTCCCCAAATGGTTTTCTCAGTGTATGTCCAATCCAATCCATCTCCATTTTCTTCTGCATATTTGTTAGGCGATAGTTTCTTGGTTGGTTCGTTGGTAGCCAGAGTTTCTTGTTGCTTGTTATTTCTGACCATTTGATCTTCATACTCTACTCTATTTTCTTCATATTGTATTCCATTTTCTCAGATAAAAACTGATGTTAAATTAACTCATTAATTTTGTAGTATTATCTATCCTATGAAATTGGTGTCAAATCCTTTTAAGCCTAAAACTATATTGTGGATTTCATCAGCACTTCTTACAGCCTACTAGTTTTTTCCTTTGCAGGAGTTACTTAGTCAATATGTTTTTGTTTTATTTACAGAGAACTGAAAACTTTGCATCAAGGGAGTTGAACTGTGTATCTGTAAAACTATCGATTTTAAGAAATCATTCAGATGGGAGTAGTTCAGTGGATTATTTTTTTGTTAACAACGTTTTTTTTGCACTGGGTTTTGACAACAACTTAGATAAGTTTTCATTCGTAGACGTTTATGATTAGCTTGTGAAATAACTGTTAATGTTGCCATGAAATACTATGAGACAGGTTTACTCGATGTATATATTAGTGTTCTTCTGGGGAGGGTGGGGGGGATTATTCTTCTAGGAGTCACTGTATAGACAGATAAGCCTATGTAGAATCTCATACCGCTGTTGGCAACAATGCAACGAAAGGCTTAAAATGAAGACACACAGATATATTGAAACTGAAGAAAGCTTTATACTTACTTTAATATTACCATAAATAGTATGAAGATGCCTATAACTTTGATGACCATATCTTACAGTCACCCGATAGGATGGAGTGGAACACTGTGTTGATGAGTAATCAAATGTCTTCTGGATTTTACATATGACATATTTTTGGAAACACCAAACGTTTATTACTTTTTTTTTTACCATCAATACCGAAGTTTTATCAACATCAAGCTCGTTAGGATCAGCAGAAATTTCAAAATAATGAAAGCAGTCAACGCATATGTTTAAATGTTTTAGAGATTTGTTAATGATGGATCGTGGCTAGCAGTGGAATCCAGGATGCGCATTTCGTCCTCTTTGAGACTCGTTGGCTGGATGTACCTGCTTCCCAATTCTTGTGCGATGGGTATAGTTTTTAGTATAATTGTTTTTATATGATACCCGTCGCACAAGAAGTGGCTAGTTGGTGTAATGGATAACGCGCTGGCGTTTGAAGCGATCGCTCCCTAGTCCGAATCCCGGTTGGAACAACATCACTCATTGGAAAGCAGGTACATCCAGCTGACGAGTCCCAAATGGGACGGAATGCACATCCTGGATTCCACTCCTAGCCACGATCCATTATTGACATAATTAGAACACTTGCAATATCGAGGCATCCGCACAGGAGCCCACATGCCAATAGGGACCGATCGATTCGGTCCAATCAACGACGGTATCATATAAAAACAATTATACTAAAGTTTTAGAGATTTATTTGATATTTAATTGTATTGGTCATTTACATCACGAAGTGCTTAACTGTCACAGTCGATGGAATAATCATTATTTGACTAAGATAGTCTGAAACAGCATTGATGAATCGTAGTCTCAATAATATGTTAATATTTATTGGATAAAGTATATTCTAATGGCTGACATTCTGAGGTTGGATCTGTTAATTCTTTGTAACTAAGTCATCCTATGAACCAGTGGTTTTCAAGAGGCAGCTAAAAGTCAACAATGGAATAACCTATTCTCAATGATATTTAACGACATATGTTGGTTACCAGTATGAGTTAGATTGTTGGTACAGCTTGATTTGATCTGACTTACCACTGGCTCAGTGATTGTTCATTAATTTCCATAACATTTATCAAGCTTTATGCTAATTGAATTAAAGTGTTTCTGCTGTTAAACACCATCGAAGCATGACGTAATAGGTGATTGATTGATTGAAGCTGTTGATTAGTAAGTAGTTCAACCTGAAAATATATGCTACCCACCGTTTCCTGATTTTTAGTCTTGTGTCAAACAGGGCGGTACAAAATCAATGTAGAACGTCGCACACAAGTGCATCGCTTCAAGTTGCCACGCAACAGTAGTTTACAAAGGATAAGTGGATAGAAAAAAGGGATATCAAAGTAGACAACGTTGTGTAAGAGAATAAACAATTTGGTGTAAATATTCAAGCTTTAGAAAACGTCAAGGAGTGAATACATCTCCACCACTGTGACCGATTTCCAACAATATCACAAAGAGTCCTCAATCGCTGATTCATTTCGTCTCTGGGGCCTCAACCAGACAGTCTATATCTCTCAATACAGCTCAGACCAGCAGTAAGAGACTTCATCGACTGGTGCCACGCCTTTGTGTAGCCATCTTGAACCCTCTTCCAATTTAATCCAACTTCCCCTAGTATGGGACGTCGGGGTAGGCGTTGGTTCGGCATACACAGTACTTGTCCAAGCCATCTCAATCGATTAAGGTTTACAACCTCATCAATTAGCTTGTTTGTCTTGTCTAGTACATTTCGCCTGACCTCAACTTTGTTCATTCTATGATTCCACCAAACGCAAGCAATGCTACAAAAACACTTATGACCAAAACCGTGTAATTACTTCATATCTTCTACTTTTCACTAATATGTCTTAAAGACATATAACAGGATAGATTGACCTGTAGCGAAGTATCCTCATCCTTTCATAGATACTTGGATATCTCTCGCTTACTTGTGTAGGTGAGAATTTTTAAACTCGGTTGAAATGATCAATTATCGTGACGGAAAATCCTCCAGGGAATATTGTTTGTGGAATACTCTTATGTTGATAAAATTGGAATACTTAGCTTACTTTTCTACAGATGGAAACAAGTTTTTGTCTTTTTTCTTTTTGTGATCACAACTTATTGAATTGTATAAAAGCAGATTATTTTACATTGATCTGAGTGTCAATTCGTGTTTACTATGTAGAAAATTGTTTTACTCTATCAAATTAGTAAATCAATTATAATTGATAATATTTTTATCACCTTCTTATTCTTATCTTAGGTTGTAATATAGAAACATTAACGTGACTATTATTACTACTATGAATAGTATTTTTATTATATATTTTGTTTTTAGATAGTTTCTCACAATTCTAATGGATTTATATCGTGTAATGATAGAAGTTTATCATTCACTTATCCAGTCACTACATCAAATTTCAGTGAAAATTCATTATTGAATTCATATTGTAAATTGAATACATTAACTTATATAATGCAGAATTCTTCAATTATTTTTAAATCTGAAATAGTTAATATACCAAAAATACAAAATATCACTTGTTTAACTATGTATAAAGAAAATCCAATTTTTTGTGCTAATCCATTGCCTTCATCACATTCTTTACCGAATACATCTCGTTTCCCATATTTTGGAGTTGTAAACAATTTAACTGGGAGTATAAATGAATTATCATCAAATGGGAATATATCATCTAGTGTATCGAAATCATTGTTAAGAAATGAATCAATTGTGAATTCATCAATCTCTTCTTCATCAGTATTATCATCAATATCACAATCATATAATAATAACAGTAATAATAATAATAGTGGGACAGTATTAGGAACTTATTTACAACCATCTCTTAGTAATAATTTAACTTCTACATATTATACTTTAGGCAGAATTCCTTCAAATCTTCTTCGTGGTACAGTCACCTCTATAATTTCACTTTCAGAGAGTAATCTCTTATTAGTTGGCAGTGATACAGGTGCATTAAGTCTTTTATATTAACTAAGAATTTCTATTTACCTATCATTATATTTATTTATTTAATAAACAAATAGTTGATAAAGTATTAAAAAGCGCCATAGAAATGTAAACGAAGCATTTTAATATTTTTCAATAATTTAAATATACAACGACAAACCGATGGAGAAAAAAACACAATCTGTTTGGTAGAAATATAATCAAGACATAAATGTTTATTATTATTTTCAAAATTATCATCACTATCATTCCATTTTATAACTTCTTAACTTAACTTGACACATGTTTAATTATAATGATTATAATATTTACTAATTTTTTTATTGTTTAACATAGAATCATTGAATATTGGTAGTAAGTAGGTGTAAAAACGGGTGAGTTTAATGGCCATTCTAGCAACGATTGAAATAACCAATTAGGATTCAAAATTTAGGCTAGAAAGGCAGATTTTTTTTGATTGGTTATCTCAATTGTTACTTGGGTGCCTTTTAAAGTTAATCGTAAAGAGCTGTGTAAATTACAGAAGCAGATCTCTTGTATGAAAAAAAATCACTACAAAAAAATTTCAAGCTGACTATACTACTTATTGTTGCTATATATATATATATATATATATATATATAGGTATTAGTACTCTTTAAATTTCTTATTCTTTCTAAACTTCGTTATTGTATAATACTTTACATGTTTTTATTTGAAAGCAATAAAAAAAGAAGGATATACGTCACATTTCAGTGTTCTCATTTTGTTGTTGGTGCTGTTGTCTGCTTATCTTTTTAATTTTTCCTTTCCAGGTATTTCTTTTTGAAAGATATAAAGATGATGTTTGGTTCCAGTTTAATGGATGCGTATTAGACTTCTCTTTCTATCCCTCGGAAGTAATAGACTGTTATAATAGGTAGAAAGATTGATAAAATCTTCATAGGAAGCCTCATATGCCTAAAGCCTTTTTCAACCAATCGTTTTACTTCAAAGTTATGCGTAAAAAGATACGTGAATCAACGTGTAAGTATCAGGTTGGTTGAAGAAATAAAAAGTTAATAGCATGTAAATCTAGAGAGGCCTGGAAATAACCAAGGCCATTATTGTATTGCCACCTTTTTTTCACTACGAAGGAACTCAGCAACAATTTGGGATAGAATCTGAAGGTATTTGTACAACCGTCTGCACATATGCATAATTCAGGCTATATCAGTCAAGTCATTGTTAATATATAAAATAGACAAGGATGATGATTGGGTCTTCTATTTTTCATAGCGTATGTGCATTCTAATGAATTGTTAATGAAAGGGAAGATACATTAGTTATTATTGAGGTAGTATTCATCGCAGACTGACATCATTTAGGGAACTATTAAAAACCTGAGTGCACTGGATAGCTGTTTTTCCTAGTATGGGACTCCTCATCGGTACACACCTACGACCCGGCTAGGAATTAAACTCAGAACCCTTAGGTTCCATGCCGAACTCTTTAGCCATTTAGCCATTAGGTTGGAGTTCAGTAGTTCACAGTTTCCGACTTCTGTCAGTTCGCGACATAATGTAGCTATAACCAAGGTCTTCCGATGGTACGCACTTCTTTTCTGACTATTTGACCCCACATGTCACGGCCTCTCATTAGAACTTCGTGATATCCATCTGGAAGCATGTCACTAATGAGCACTATACACTAATGTATTTTTGAGACGAATGGGGATTTTAATTCAGAGGTAGTATTCATCACGGACTAACATCAATCAAATACTTGGAAAGGAAGCAGATGCCATCTGAAGACCGTGAGTGATAGTCTTGCTATATCGTGAATTGACAGGAGTTGGAAATTGTGAACCATTCTACTCCGACTCAGTGGCTGAGTAGTTAATTTGTTCGCTGTGAAACTTGAAGGTCCTGAGTTCCATCTCTAGCCGGATAATGCGTGCGTACTGCTGGAGAACCGCATACTAGGATGAAACAGCTTATCCAGTGCTCTCAGGTTTTCAGTAGTTCTCAATTGACGTCAGTTCATGATAAATACTACCTCAAAATTAAAATCCCCATTCATCTCAAAAATGCAATCGTTATTAATGAGTTGAATTACTTTTGTCTTCCCTTGACAACTGCTATTCAGGATGATGATGAAGTGGACTCGTGTTACATTTTTCTTCACTAGCCTTATTTTATGTGCCTTCAGAGTGAGGAAAATTACTCTTCATATAGAGGGAATCAAATAATTTTGTATTTCATATACTTTGGTTTCTAAAGTAAAACGATAGAAGCAGGATAAAATGGATCCATTTAATTTCGATGGTATCCCTTGTCAACTGTTTACAACTTAGAATATCAAAATATAAAGTTTTACGGAAACTTTTACGTACTTCATTAATATAAGTGAAAAACTTGGGCACTGTGGTAGAATGTAATTCCATATTAGATTTGTTTATTTGATATAAAGCGCACAGTGATACAGTATTATTTAATTGATTACGTTTCGAGCATAAATTATTGCTCATAACCATATCAATGTACGTACTTCGTTTAAGGGGGACAGAATATCAGTCAGTGGTTAAAAGGGACAGAAATGATCATAGATTAAAGGTTAATCATACCGGCAAATTCAAGGAGGGTCGACAAATCTTCATAATCATCTGCATAATCGAATGAAATTTTCCCGAATAAACTAACGACATGAGTAGTAATCAAAATAGGTCATACGATAAATGAGGGAAATGTTATGGGTTAAGCTGTTAATTAGAAACATTCGATATGAACAAAAGGTGATACAACTAAATAAGAGAATAAATATCCAAAAATGAATCAAAAAGCAGTCAAGAAGCGTTACCAAGGTAGACGGCAGTTGTTTATAGCTTCTTTTTCGACATATAAATCAAGTTCCAAGGCGTTTGCTGGTTATGGCTTCAGCTAACTGCAGTGGGATTGAACTCGTTTGTTGGTTTACTATCTTGAAGGAATTGAAGATGTCTACTTGATATTCATTGTCAATCAATTATGACCAGTTAAGTTTCCTTGAATTTACGGTTGCATCTATCCTTTATTCTATGACTATTTCTATCTATTTTAACCACTGACAGATATTCTACTCTCTTTCAGTGAATTAAAGTTCATAAAGGGGAATCCGTGTATGAAACCTTAATTTGTATTCAGTAATACATTCCAGTGAAGTTACAATTTTCATATATAAGTATATCATTCTCTTTTTTTCGTATAAAGCTAATTTTTCTATCTCATCTTTTAAATAACCGAAGTTTAGTCCTTATTATAAATGAACAGAATGACTGAGTAGATTGTGTATGTAAGGTAATCCCAGTAGCTTTGGTCATGTTATTTGACATAACATTACTGTTTACATTCAATCGTATCAAAGGAATGAAGACGGAAGACCTATGCTTCGTAGTCCATTAATTGGCGAATTTTAAAAATAAATTGACAACTAGGGAAACAAGAAAACAGTTTAACAGGATGTGGCGTTTGGTAGACAGACATGCTGTATTTGGTATTGGTTTATCATTATGTGATTTGATGTTTTGTATTCTGTCTTATTATTGTTGGTAAAAATATCCACAACTGGTATTTGTATTTCCTCGTTGCGCCATGGGACGATCGCAACCCGATCTTATTTGTGTGATTGTCAGAATGTTATTATTGTAATAACAAGGCTACTTGTATTGTCTTTCACAAGTTGACGAATCAAATACCTGGAATCTGATGAATGCCCCTATTTGTCATGTGTTGACACAGTTTACAAATGTGAGATTCAGAAAGCAACTTTCACTTAACCAGAAGGACTTGAGTCCATCATTATCAGACAGAGCTCATACAAGCAATCGCAACAGCTGGACGGGTGGTGCTGCAACTGTTCAACAGTCGACTTCATTTTGCTGCACACCACTTGGATTGCAGAATAAAACGAAGAACAGATGGTGGCTTGGATACTACTGTCTACAGAAAAGCAACACATTCCACCAGGTATCTAGACTTCAAATCATCCCATCCAATATCAGTTAAGGCAGGATTAGTCAAATGTCTAAATGATGGAGCTAGAAAACTGACTAGTCAAAGCAAGAATCTAATCAAGGAATTGAAACACGTAAAAGAAGCGCTGATAGTTAATAATTATCCTCCGTAGTTTATTAAGAAGTTCTTACGGACACACAAAAAACGAAAAAAAGATGGGACTTCCTTCAGGTAAACGTAAAGAAGACCGAGGTGACGAAGATAGCCAACCAACAGCTACAACAACAAGCACCAATCACCATCAACCGGAGAAACCGAAAGGGAGTTGTCTCTTTCACCTAGTTGCCTATGCAGCATCGTTTCAACTACAGGCGGCGGTGGCGGCACAGATGAGGATGTCAAAGCCAGCCAGGATCGTAAAGACAGCAACACAGGCCTTCCTGCATCAATCTGAAATCAGTGTTGTACATATACTCCACTGCACTGTACACCAGTCAGGATAAAGCGTGAACAAGATCCGGGTTTTCAATACTAATTCAGTCAAGTAAGTCAGTGCTTGTTTGTGATGGTTGAGAGACTTGGCACGTCACAAAAAGCATTTCCAATAAACTACAGACATACATGAACAGCTGCCGCCTACGCTCACTCGATACTGAAGATCAGATCAGAAGGCCAGAAAGAATAAGCAACAAGGAACTCTGGCTGGCGACGAACCAACGACTAGTTGGGTGTCCGAGGCGAGGGTGACAAAGGAGATGATGTGAGGAAGAAATGAAAACTTGTGAGGAGTCTTGGAGCCAGGTTGAGAAGACTGCAGAGAACATAGTGAAATGGCAACGTGTTAATGAAGCGCTTTGTTCCACCTGTAACCCAAGGGACAAATAATGATAAAGTTTTTGCATGTATTTTTGTAATGCAGAGAAAAGTCATTGAAGATGAATAACAAAATGCACAATCATTTTGGTCAGTAGTGAACACTTGATTTCAGATACAGAGTCAAGACTATGACGAACAAATATTACTCCCAAGCGATTCACGATTCCTGATAATTTACTTGGTTGTGGTTAGCAGAGGAATCCAGGATGCGCGTTTAGTCCTACTTGTGACTCACTGGTCAGTTGGACGTAGCTGCACCCCATTGCGGAGTGATATTGTTCCCATTGAGACTCGAATCTCGTACCCATGGAAGGCTAAGTCTTCTTTAGGTTTCTGGGCACCCTCATCGGAGCCCATATACCAATTGACGTCGAACAATTCGATGCAATGAAACAGTGGAAAATTACAAGCATATCAATAAATAATAATCCACCATTCATACTAGGCTAAAATATAATGATCCCCACTGTCTTCCTACTGTTAATTCTCGATGCAATGAGTCGTAAATAAGGAAGTAGAAGTAATTATTTTGAGCTCTGTCACTTTTCTTTGCCTATTTCATATCAATTTGTGAATAAAACTTTTCTAATCAATCTTTTCTGCTCACGAACAATAAGTTCTAATTCATCAGTTGATCCAAATCTATCCTTTACACACATTGGTTTTGTGGTTCTAGAACCTTTAGCAGTCACTCTGACATGTCATGATATAGTTTTAAGGGAGAACTGTAGAATTAATTACTACATTGAGACTTAGAATTTATGCTGAGATAAGTTTGAAGTATTCAGAGTTTCATGTGTTATTCAATACCTAAATGATATGTAAGAAAGCTTGAAATTCTTAAAAGACTCCATGAATTTTATTTAGGAAGATTATTCACCTGATAAAGGAATAAAGCGAAACAGAATTCGGCTTAATTTTATTATGGTCTGTCATTGGTTTGAGTTCGATAGACGCCACGTCAGGCGGTGTCTTTCTTTATGTCTGAAGTTTGTACTACCTAGAAATAAACGCTTATCGTAGTAGGTGGTCATCGTTATCTGTTTGTTCAGACGGGATTCTGAAAGTGCCACCTAAATGCCTTTCTACCTGACGCAGCCTTTTCACTTGTGCATTGAAATCACCAGGAAAAACAACCACATCTGAATGTTTCGTATTCTGATGTGGAACTCATTCGAACTGTAGTCAGTAGGTGCGTAAGGAGAGATTACAAAGAGACAACAGCGAGTTTCACTATTCCTTTTAGTTTTTACTGTGCCGGGCAGCGCATAGATGACTGTCGACTGGGATTCATTCTTGTAGTAGGCTTTTTGCTTGTGCCTAATGCTATTCCTACACCTGCAAAACCGCAACAACTAACCATTGGATCTCCAGAAACTCGACAAGTAAATTTTCCGGATTCACCAGGTTGCCCAAGTGAAGTTAGTGAGTAACTGTAATTGAGTCCTCTTTGCACATTTCACAAGTACACCACATACATCCAGAGTCCGAGATGCTATAGTTTCGGTTAGCGAAGCTAGTTGGCCGATTTGACGGACGGTGCGGACGCTAAAAGCTTCAATGTGTAATTTGGAGCGTGTTTTAAGAAGACCGAGGATGGTGTTCTGTGGACTCGGATCATTGTCTAGAGCTGCAGAGCTAGAAGAAAAAATAAATATGGTGTCGGAAGATTAGAAGGTAAGAATGAGGAAGGTGGGTGCTGCTCTGCGGGAACTTAAGTGCTGACAGAGTTGTGAGTGCGGTTGTCACCTCACGGCTTCCCACACCATAGAAGGCTAAGTCTTCTATCCTTACCTGAAAAAGAAGGGTTAGTCTGTGACTACAGAGCTCAAGGGATATCTCCTTGAGGCCGGTGACTTACAGCCATTTTGATCCTACGACATTTGGTATATATATATATATATATATATATATATATATATATATATATATATATATATATATATATATATATATATATATATATGTCTGCAGTGCTTGAGAGCTAAGTTGAAGACTTCAGATACAAGAATGTCGTTTCATTCCTTTTTGCACCAGTTCATCGGTAGTAGAAGGGCATTTCTTCACCTCGGAGAGCTGCGTTACTCACATTATTCCGAAATTGACTATCTACGTTTGCTGACTAGGATTACCGGTACTAGTTGTGAGAGCCCATTGTGATTTCATTAGGAAACTAAAAATGCTTCGATATCGTTTGCAGAACTGTATTATTTATATTTAATATCAGTTTTTTCTAAACGTATTGACTATGTCATTCTTGTAGTTTGCTTTTGTTTATTTATTCATCAACTGACTGTTTTGATTTTCTTTACGAGGATATTTAATGTGGTACTTTGAATATTTTCCTAGTAAATAACTATAAGTATGCCAAAGTCATCAGCTGCTAAAAGTGATGGTACGAAAAATGCAAAACCTAACTGTAAAGCATCCAACAAAACAGACGCTGGATCATCAGGACCCTCTGGAAAGCAATCCAAGACAGCAAATGCAGTAAAAGTAATTTAGTTATCACTACATGTTTTTATCTTATTTTAAAATATTTTCCCATCTGTTTCTTGTTTTCCAGTATACTGTCATTGAGATGGCTGACTTCAAATACTTTGAAACAATTAATTCCTTATATGAATTTTGATAAAACAATTATTATATTATTTATTATTTGTCCCTTGGGTTCCTGAAGGAACATAGGGCTTCAGTAGTACGTCTTCAGTGCCCCCTGTTGTCTGCAAACTTGAACCTGGTTCCACGACAGCCCAGAAGCTCTCATCTGTCCCTCAAACGATCTCCCCCATGTCACACTAGCCTCGGACGCCCAACTCGTCACTTCCCATCTGGGTTCCACTTGAGTGTCTGGCCTGGCACGTGATGTCCCCCAATGGTCTCCTCAGTGCATGCATGTTCCAAGGGCTTTGATGGGTATATAGGCTTCCAGTTCTCGATTATCCGAACCTTAGCTGTATCATCTGTTTTATTGGTGGTAGCATTAAATCTCCGTGTAGACTATCAAGGTATTTGCATCTCTCGTATATGGTGGCTTGATGAATACATTGTTCTTAGAGATACAGTAGACAGTATTTCTTAGTGATCTCTCCACTTTATACGAACTTATGGACTTCTTTGGGTAGTTGTTCTCAATCAGTGTCTACGTCAATAATCTTGTATCTTCTTCCAATTTATCGGGTGTGCGTACTTGATGAATAAACATCGTTTGTATTTGACTAGAAAGAATCTGTGGTAGTCTAAATACTGTCCTGTCTAAGTATGGTTTGTGTAAATAGATCGTTTCACTGATCCATCTTATCGTTGACTGATAAGTTAATCTAGGAAAGATAAGCAGGTATTCTCCTCTTCTACGTTTGTTAAAGATATACCATTCCATACTTAGTTCATTCGATTCGAAATGCAAGTAGCACAACATAGATCATCACTTATGATAAAGATATCATCCATATATATTTTATAGAATGGAACCTTTTCAATTAATTCCTCAGATAACTTTTCAACATACGATATATAAATATCTGTTAATAAAGGGAGGCCAAGGGGCTTCCCGTAGGAACGTCATCAGTCTCATGGAAATATTCACCGTGAAATGTAAACTGTACTTTTTAGTACATTAGAGTAATGAATATTTTGAGTAGGGTAAAGGGACTGGGATTAGAAAATTATTGGTGGAAATGTAATCACACAAAATGTCGATTGTTTTGACCAACGGAAAATTAGTGAATACGGAGTTAACGTCAAAAGTTTATCGAGTATTATTTTTAAGATTGATTGTATCAGGTCAGTCAACTATAACTCATGTATATCTTTCAAAAAATATTTAAAAAATTGTCTTTTGTTCGAGATCAGTAATTCTACTAGCCAATGAGCAAGTACAAGCTTGAGTTGATAATCCATGTGTAGACTCTGTAATTTTTCATATAAATGAGAAGTACTTATTTGATGATAACATTGTTCGAAATGTGTTGCACAAATACATCACACGATTCTAACTTTAAATACACTTCTTTATAAGTATTATTCATCACCGAATGACATCCGTTGCGGAACCGCTGAAAACCTGGGAGCACTGGATACTTGTCTCCTTCTATCATGGGACTCCTCGGTAGTACGCACCCATGACCCGGCTACGGATCGATCTCAGAACCTTCAGGTTTTACAGTGAACGCGTTAACCACCCACCCACTGGGTCGGTTCACAGTTTCCAACTTCCTTCAATTCACAATACAGCGCAGCTACCACCCAAGGTCTTCAGTTGGCATCTACTTCCCTTCCAACTGGTTGACCCCACAGGTCATGGCTTCTCATTAGAACCTCGTCTTATGCACCTTTTTAACAATAATTTTCTGTTAGTCAGCTTTGTGTTTCTCTTTAAAAAATCTGTTGTTTAGGCGAAGTATTCATTGTTTAATCATGAGATGTTATTGTTTCGATGCTTTTGGGTATATAACCGAATGCGATGAATAATAATTGTACTTGATTCAGTGTTATATGGGGGAATTTTTATCTCACTATTCTAAAAGTATATCACTATTGTTTAGTTTTCATTTATGGACGTTTCAAATGTACTCAACAGCAACCTTTTACACATTCGTGCAGTAGGCAGGCAATGAGCCACACGTATTGATTGAGGACTAGTGGTGTTACTACTACCTTGCTGCTGAAACTTTCTCGGTGTGTGGAACAGGGCTACAACCTGTCACCCATTGGTTGAAAGTCATCTCCTTAAACCAATGAACCATAGTTCCAGGTGTTCATTTATGCACTCATATTCATCGTTTTCTTCGACATATTTTTTAGTGTTGTGATTTATTCACACTGCCATGGTTATAATAATAATAATAATAGTGTATTATTGATATCACTTTTTATTGTCCAGTGTTCAGTGTATAACAAAGTACTGGAAGTTTACTTTACTTTTTTATATTTCATAGGAAATCTGTATATGCCACTTATCTATCCTCTTGGTTATCATTTTGTAGATAAAAATTCTTAATGAATCTTGAAAGGAATTTTTAACTGCACTAGGGATACATTTCATATGAAACAGTACTGTAAACCACTACTCCTATATCTAATTCAACGTGAACAAGCTACAATTTTATGTTGAGATTATATTTAAGATAATAACGGTTGACGCGTTCGCTTTGAAACCTGAAGGTTTTTAGTTTGATCTCTGGTGTAGTCGTAGGTGCGTAATGCTGAATAGGCCCATACTAGGATCAAACAGCTGTCCAATGTTTACAGTTTTATTTTTGTTTTCAAATCATTTAATCTGTTTTAGTCTCATCTACCTAAGAATACGTAACCAGTTGAAGGTTTTTTAAATGAAGCCTTAATAGTTATTGATGAAAGTGACTGAATAGAGAAAGCCAAATGGTTGAATTTTAATATGACTAAATAATAACATTGAGGAGGTGATTCACACTGGTTCTGCATTCAGTTTATAGATGAATACAATTGTAGAACAATTAATCTTCACGTTACAGACCTATGTAGCAGATGCTTTATACCGTGTGGACTTTAGTTCAGAACATCTCATTGTCAATTTTTATGAAATAGGTATTTATAAAACCATCTGATTTGATAACGAATCGTTCGCCGCCAAATCACTAACATATAAATTTTTGAATTAAGGGGTTTATGGAAATTTATAGATTTTTTTTAAGTTAGCATTCATGGAATGACATCAGTTGGAGGAACATTGAGAACCTGGAAACACTGGATAGCTGTTTCGTCCTGGTATGGGACTCTTCAGGAGTGTGCACTCATGACCCCGCCAGGGATCGAACTGGTGACCTCCAGGTTCTATGGCCAACACATTACCATTGAGCCTCTGGGTCTCTAAATCCCTACAAACCCTCAAACTGAATTAATCTAATGCTCATTGGTGACTAGATTCGAGAGGTGATTCCTGAAGTTCCAGTGAGAAGTCATGACCAGTGGGGAAAGCCTGGAGGCCGTGAGGACAAGTACTCAACGCTGACATTGGGTAATAGTCGCTTTATGTCATAAAGTGACAGAAGTAAGAAATGTGGACCACTGGATTCCGACTCAGTGACCCAATGGTAACGTGCTAGCCACTTAACTTGAATGTCGTGGGTTCGATCCATGGTGGAGCGGAGTCATGAGTGCACACTACTGAGGAGTAGCATACTAAGGGAAAACAGTTACCCAGTGCTGTAAGGCTTCCAATGTTTCTGTTGCTGTGATGAATTCCAAATCATTGGTTTATGAATTTTTACCTACTAGTATAAGAAATACCTTTTTTCATCAATGTGCAATAAATCTTTATATCGTCATCTTTCATTTCTTTCTACAAATTTTTTCTTAAAGGTACGTCATATATTATGTGAAAAACAGAGTAAGTGTTTAGAAGCGTTAGAACAGCTGAAAAATGGTAAACGTTTTAATCAAGTAGCAGAAACATACAGTGAAGATAAAGCACGTTCAGGTGGTGACTTAGGATGGATGTCACGTGGATCGATGGTTGGTGCATTTCAGGTGAGTTATTATTAGTTTTCTGTGAAAAGGATAATGAGTTATAACGGAAAGACTGAAACAATGTATGGAAATTCCTTGGTAATCGAGTTTAGCATATACTGTTGACAAGGGGTGGTCCACTTCTCTATATTGTTTTGATAGTGAATAGTGAAGGGAGTTCAAGATGCCTTTCTCGTTTTACTAGAAGTTTATTTTTTGCACCCTTAAGCCATGCTGTTAATTACAAGTTAAAGATTTCGATAACAGACCTCATAACGAACTGACTACTAACATAATTTCTGCATACATACAAAGTATTTGTCTAGGATTCACTACCTTAAGTCGTCTATATCACCGCGTGATCATTCGACTGCTGATTAAAAACAAGTATTCTGCGCACTGTGATCGACTTTATCATACTCCAAGGGGAATATACAGTCTTTGAGCTTAGATGACTTGAGGATGTTGTAGATTTCCGTTCATAATGGTTTCTGAAAGAATATTTAACCTTGATGGAAGCGCATAGTGGGCGGATTTTCTCGACTTAGGTGACTAATACATGTGTTCATACACAGAACTACAGTTTACTTCAGAATTCAATGTTAACTGACAGTGACCAAACCAAAATGTGATGCCACTTTCTAATTTCTAGTCTGAACCTTGTTGGGTTTTTGATCACCGGTTACCGAGATATTTTCCGTCGGTGGTTGGATAACCCTTTTAGCATGCAGAAACGTAGATAGCAATAGAGTAGAAGTTGTCCAGATTTCTGATTATTCTTTTCTTATTTGTTCATTTGCTGTCATGTTGTACCTTTTTGTTTCTGTAACGTTGTGAACGATGATAATATGAACCGGTGGACGTTTATGCCAAGGTTATACATTATTCTCTCTTTTTATAATAATACAGTTATTATCTGTTGTCATATACTAATACAAAATGTTAATGCAACACTAGATATCCAGTACATTTGGATACATATATGCATATATGTGTACGGGTGACCTAAGTCTGCAAGGTCACCTTAACAAAACAAGACGACTTTTTCTTCACGATTTCACTTTGATCCACCTATCAGATCACTGATTTTCTCATCAGTTATTTAGTGATAAAATAAAATATGGTATTACTACAAACTGTAACTGTGAAAAGTGAACTATGGTTTTGTTTCTATTCATACTATTAGTAAACTACAAGAATATTTTACCAAACTCTTATCATAGCATTAAACACATATAATACGATTCTGTGGTACTGTAAACTATCTATGGTCCATAAAGTCTGAATTAAAATGAAATTTAAATTGAGAAATCTGTGGGGATTTAGTGGAAAACTGGTAGCATTTGACACCTGTTTCCTCCTCAGCAGTGCACACACATCTCGCCAGGGTTCGAACCCAGGACCTTTGAATTCCGTGTCTTGCCTGTTACCATTCAGCTCCCAGGTTTCCAATGTTCCCTTAACTGATGTCAGTCTATGATGTTTTACCAACTTAAAATGAAACTATACAAAGTGAGCACATATTACAAGATGTGAACTTGAGGGTGATGCCTATTTCGATATTGTTGAAATTACTGGTTTACTGCCCTGAGTCAATGGACTGACTGAGTGTATAGTACGAAATACACTGACGATATCAACACGATGTGACACCTGGACTGAATGGATATGAATAGTGATCGTTCTCCCTTAGAACTTTATACCTCAAAAGGTGAAGGCCGCTCTGTAACTGTAAGGAAAACAGTTTATTCGACAAAAAAAATATCATTTATATACAGTTTTCATGAACATACAAAACCATGAGGTGAAAAGTTAACTGCCCTATTCTGATTGGTCAACTTTAGGATAAAATTGTCCGTTAGTGTTTTTCATGATCATACAGTGACATAGAACAAAAAATGAAATCCAGAGCTTCTACTTTAACGGCTGATGACTTAAAATGTTAATTTCCATTTTGGCCACTTCCTGTCAGTTACTAAATGACATGTAACTACTTACTGCATTTTGCTTGTATTGAAGGTCAGGTGACTAAGTAGAATATCTGACTTAAGGAATTTCGAAAGACATACCTACAATGTAATCTAATGTGACAATGTTTATTATGGTTATTATTTGTTCCTTAGGTTACTGGTGGAACAAAGGGCTTCACTAGCACGTCACCATTTTTCACTCTCTTCTCTCCAGTCTTTTGAAACTGGCACCACGATTGACCAGGAGCTTTCGTTTCTTTCTCACACGATCTCCTGTATGTCACCTTGGCCTCGGACACCCAACTCATCGCTTCCCATTGGGCTTCCACTTGACGATCTGGCCTGACGCATGATGTCACCAAATGGTCTTCTTAGTGTATGTCCAATCCAATCCATCTGGACTTTCTTCTTCTGCATATTTGTTAGGCGATAGGTTCTTGATTGATTGTTTCGTTGCCAGTCAGAGTGAGTTCCTTGTTGTTTATCCTTTCTGGCCTTCTGATCTGATCTTCAGTATCGAGTGAGCGTAGGCGGCAGCTGTTCATGTATGTCTGCAGTTTGTTGGAAATGCTTTTTGTGACCGAGTTTCTGAATCACGTAGAAACATTGACTTAACTGAATTAGTGTTGAAATTCCGGATGTTGGTCACGCTTTATGCTGAATGCGGTGCAGTACGGTGGAGTAGATCTCTACACTGATTTCAGATTAATGCAGAAAGGCCTGTGTTGCTGTCTTTCCGATCCTGGCTGGCTTTGACATCCTCATCTGTGCCGCCACCGCCGCCTGTAGTTGAAACGACGCTGCCTAGGTAGGTAGGTGAAAGAGACTACTTCCCTCAGGTTTCTCCCGTTGATGGTGATTGATGCTTGTTGTTCTCGGTTGGGTATCTTCACCTCTGTCTTCTCTACATCCACTTGAAATCCCGTCTTCATTAGCTGCCCTGCCTTGCCTCTTCTGTCAACTTGTTAGTTTCTGCTTATAGATCTTCGAGTTTCTGCGACATTTGACATTAGATATAAATCATGATCGGCGAAATCGAAACCTTCTAGCCTCTTTTCATCGGTCCAGCCAACGGATGCCCATCTCGCTCCTCAAGGTTCGCTGCATGATCCAGTCCAGTCAATCACAATCAGAAAGATGATTAGTGATAGTAGGCGGCAGCCTTGTCTTACTCCTGTCTTCACTTCAAAGTCATCACTGAGCTCTCCATTGTGAATCACTTGGCATATGGCGTCTTCATGTAGCTGTTGAATGAGGTTGATAAAGGTTTGTGACACTAAAACCGTAGTGTTGAAGCAGCTGCCTGCCAAATTAATTCTTGGTCAACGCAGTCGAAGGCCTTTTTAGAATTGATGAAGTTGAGGTTGAGTTGACTGCCATTCTACGCTCTGTTCTATGTTGATGTATAGTGTTGCAATTTGATCCGCACATGACTTGGTCTTCCGGAAGTCAGCCAGCCTACTGCGGTCGTAATTTTGAATCCAGTGCATCCTTTAGTCTCTCCAGGATGATGCTGCATAATAGTTTGCTTGGGGTGGACAGACACAGCAGCATGATTCTGCGCCAGTTCTTGCAATGACTTAGGTCTCCCTTCTTTGGAAATTTGACAAGGTAGCCCTTCTTCCAATCGATCGATAGGTACCCTTCCTTCCTTACAAACCTTCTTCAGTAGTGTTGTTAGCATGTCCGCTGTTGCCTCTGCGTCTGTTTTCAGTGGTTCTGGTGGAATTCCATCTGGTCCTGTTGCTCTCCTGGATTTCAGGAGTCCGGTTTGTTTCGAGGGGTTTGGGTTCACTGATTGTTCTGTGACTGGGCTGCTGGTGGTACTTGTGGACGAGTTGCGGGTGGTGGTGGTAGGCAATTCAAGTGTTTTCTGGAGGGGTCAGCCCATAGTTTCCTTTGTTTCTCCCCTCTCTTTGGTAACTAGATTTCCTCCACTATCTCTCATTGGTTTCGTCTACGTTGATCTCTTCCATTCCAGATAGTAACCCGGTTATTTGATATAATGTTGTCAGGTCTCTGTCTCTCCTACCTGCAGGCTGTTCTGCTTCACTTGCCAATGTGTCGTAGAAGAAGTCGCTTCTGTCTTTGTGCTCACTCTTCTTCCCTTCTTTGTCCAGTGTAGTGTTTTATAGGTTGTACTCAGTTCCTCTTTTCGTTGTTCATCCCTGCACTGGTTTATCTTTTGCTTAACCATCTTCGTCTCCCTGCTCTGTCAGCTTCCATGTGTCTATCGAGGTCCATCCATTGTCTTGTTTCCTCTTCCTTCCTAATACAGTTATGCAGGTTTCTTTTCATACCGCTTTCAAACAGTTTCAGTGCTCTTCCACTCGGGTTTTTTCAGGAATGTTCCTTAATATCTACCATTTTGTCCTGATGGCTGACCACGTGAAGATATCCTTTGTAGTTTCGTCCTTCAGTTTCTGTTCTAGGTGTTGAAGGCTTTCAACTTGATTTTTAAGGTAGGTTCCCTGCACTTGACAGTGAGTGAGTGGTTTGAACCTACATCTGTTCACCTTCTTGATCTGATCTTGTGTCCAGTAGGCTGACTGCGTCTCCACTTTCTTCACATTGAGATGGAGTCGATATGATTTTTTAGTAAAGTGTGTCCTGGTGTCTGGTGAAATCGAATCCATGTCTCTTTGTGAATGTCCTTGTGTTTGTACACACTGCTTCCAATTACCAAATCGTTGAATGTGCAGAAATTTGCAAACAGTTCTCCATTCTCATTCATCATTTCACCGAGTGCTTCTCGACCCATGATTGGTTCTCTACCTGTGTTGTCTGCTCCTCACAGTTTAGGATTCATGTCACTCCACCCATTAGAATGAGCTTTGATGTCGCGATCTGTGGTGGGGTGTTGTTTAGTACTGTCTATAGAATTCCTCCTTCTCCTCTTGATCTGCATTATTTGTAAGTGCGTAGTGTAGCACTGAATGATTGACTTTCCTTCCTTTTGAGTTGAACCTTGCTGTCATGATCCTGATGGTGGAGGAGATTGGTTCCCACTGCATGAGAGCCTTTGATGCTGTTTGGGACATGGTGATAGCC